CCCAATGGACGGCCCGCCTCCTCAGATGAACGGCGGTGGTCTCGGTGGCAGCGCCTGGGGACCAGGAGGGTCAGTCAATACCCAAGACACAAAACAGGAAGGTATGCTAACGGGTGACAGTCAGGGTCCTCCCCCTCAGATGAACGGCGGCGGTGGTGCCGGTGGCTGGGCCAACGCACCCAACTTCACTCCCGCGGCCGCGACGGTCCTCAAGGTGGTGGTGGATGGGGCGGTGCCCCTCGCGGTAACTTCGATCCCAGCGCCTACGGCAAGCCCGGCGGCGGTGGCTCTGGAGGTGCTCGCGGATCTGGTGATGGTGCCTGGAAGGACGGCAAGCACGTTCCCGGCCCGCCCAACCAGCGTCTGGAGCGCGACCTCTTTGGCGTGCCCAACGACCCCTCCAAGCAACACACCGGTATCAACTTCGAGAAGTACGACGATATCCCCGTCGAGGCCTCTGGTCAGGGTGTTCCCGAGCCCGTTACACGTTTCACAAACCCACCTCTCGATGACCACCTGCTGAGCAACATCGAGCTCTCTGGATACAAGGTTCCCACACCCGTACAGAAGTACTCTATTCCCATCGTCATGGGTGGTCGTGATCTCATGGCTTGTGCCCAGACTGGTTCCGGAAAGACTGGTGGTTTCCTCTTCCCCATTCTCGCCCAGGCCTTCCAGAACGGCCCCTCTCCTCCCCCCGCACAGGCTCAGGGTGGCTATGGACGTCAACGCAAGGCCTACCCCACCTCGCTCGTCCTTGCTCCTACCCGTGAGTTGGTCTCCCAAATCTTCGACGAAGCCCGCAAGTTCGCCTACCGCTCTTGGGTCCGCCCTTGTGTCGTCTACGGTGGTGCCGACATTGGCTCCCAGCTTCGCCAGATCGAGCGCGGCTGCGATCTTCTTGTTGCTACCCCCGGCCGTCTTGTCGACTTGATCGAGCGTGGCCGTATCTCCCTCGCTAGCATCAAGTACCTTGTTCTTGACGAGGCTGACCGCATGTTGGACATGGGTTTCGAGCCTCAGATTCGCCGCATCGTTGAGGGTGAGGACATGCCTCCTACCGCTGGCCGCCAGACACTCATGTTCTCGGCCACCTTCCCCCGCGACATTCAGATGCTTGCCCGCGATTTCTTGAAGGACTACATTTTCCTTTCGGTTGGTCGTGTCGGTTCCACTTCTGAGAACATTACCCAGAAGATTGAGTACGTCGAGGACGTTGACAAGCGCTCTGTTCTCCTGGATATCCTCCACACCCACGGTGCTGGTCTTACCTTGATCTTCGTCGAGACCAAGCGTATGGCTGACTCGCTGTCCGACTTCCTCATCAACCAGGGCTTCCCCGCCACCTCCATTCACGGTGACCGCACTCAGCGCGAGCGTGAGAAGGCCCTGGAGATGTTCCGAACTGGACGTTGCCCTATCCTCGTCGCTACTGCTGTAGCTGCCCGAGGTAAGTTTCCCAATACTTTCATCCTTTCAAAAACACATGTATTCTTCAAACCTTGAAATAACCTACTAACTCCTAAAAAGGCTTGGATATCCCGAACGTTACTCATGTGGTCAACTACGACCTGCCTACCGACATTGACGACTACGTTCATCGAATCGGTCGTACTGGACGAGCTGGAAACACTGGTATTGCCACTGCTTTCTTCAACCGCGGCAACCGCGGAGTCGTACGCGACCTCCTTGACCTGTTGAAGGAGGCCAACCAGGAAGTCCCTGGATTCCTCGAGTCCATTGCTCGTGAGGGCTCCGGCTTCGGTGGAGGCCGTGGTGGACGCGGAGGCGGCCGTGGACGTGGTAACGCTGCTACCCGTGACGTTCGTCGCATGGGCGGTGGTGGTGGTGGCTTCGGTGGTGGTGGCCAGTGGGGTGGTGCTCCCCAAGGCGGCTACGGAGGTGGCTACGGCGGCGCTCCCGGCGGTGGCTACGCTCCTCCTGCTCCTGGCGGCTACAGTGGCGGCGGCGGCGGTGGCGGCGGCTTCGGTGGAGGCTACGGCAACCCATCTGGCCCTGGTGGCAACTCTTGGTGGTAAACGTGCATCACACCGCTTCACGATGTAGCCAGCCCGGGACATATTTTCTTCTCTACGATACCCTGGGCCTTCGTGCAGCTGCTACCGATGGCTTGCTTTCGATTTCCTTTATTCTCGGATGTTTTCTGCGAATCTTTCCCGGTTACCGCGGATCGATGCGGAAATCTGGAATCTCATACCCCAACCAGCATATAGACAGCGACTGTTTTTTTTGCGGATCTGCCTGTTTTCGAGCTCTTCTCGCATACGATACCCTTCGACGCACACTTGTCGAGCTCGAACATGGAGGCAGGACCCTCGTCTTTCCCGGAAAGACATGCATTACGAACATTTCACGACTTCGCTCTTTTGCAAGCCTGCTGCTTGGGGAGCTATAGATTCTCGCTTTCCGAGTCGTCCACACGCGGATGACCTCTGAGCATTTTCTTATTTTACGACAAAAGCGATTCCTTTTTCCCGGTCATACCCTTCGGCGACAACGTCTTTCTTGTCGTCCTTGCGTCGCTCAGTCTCTCCACACGCGGAGAGTAGCAGCATGACCCTGTTTCGGACGACAGAAAAGTTTCCTGCATAGATGGCGTTCATGAAGGTCCATCCACGACCCAACCTTTTTACGAAGGAAGATACCCCCGGTTCTTTGTGGTAACCATCATGGTGGCTGTCTTTCCAAGGCCAGCTCGGCAGTGGGATTTAGAAGCTCATTTGGTTTGCATGCACATGTGCGCGGACCTGACCCAATGACTTGGGTGGAAGGAATTTCATAAAAGTATAGTTTCGAGCAGATGATTAGTTATATAGACTAGTATGGGCTGCCAACATGCGCAACCTGTACAATGCATGCGATTTCATACTTGCAAATCTTTTCCACCAAACGCAGTGATGTTAAAGACCACAGCTCTAGGCTAAGTGGTATCGCACGGTCCAGGTGATGTGGTCTGGTTATCTGTAGCTGTTATTCCAGCTCATGTTCTTCATCCACAATATTGCGAATGCACTTAGGCTACGTTCTGGCAACGTGGGACCCAGAGACGATTGTGGCTTCACTAGGTGGTGGCTCTTTCCCAGTCGTCAGCATCCTTACCTGCCATCTAGCTTTGTCGTTCTTACGTTGCGACGCAGGCGCAATCAAGATCATTCCCTCGCGTATCTGCTTCTCTTCTCTTGTCAACATCATCATCTGGGTCACCCCACTCACCGCCCACTCTATTCTTCGCTCAGGTATCCATCCGTTATCTGCATACTCATGATCGTATCCATACCTCTCTACCAGATCGAATAGCGCAGTTCATACGAGCTCCTCATCAGAAGGTCGCCTCGTAATACACAATGTCAGACCGTCTCGCAGGCCACCCCTCACTCCAAAAGACTCGCGGCACTCTTACAACATGGGGTAAATACTGCCGTTCACACTTCATAGATTGGACTGCGGAAGCAAGAGAGGAATTCGAAGCAGACATAAATCGTACTAAGCCGTGGAATACAAGTCTATAGGATTGTCTCAATCCATTGCCACTGTGTAAGTCCTTCTCATAGGTCGATGTCAGGGCGGGACTGGTGAGAAGGTAAACTGACGTGTATTGTAGGCATCGTCACTTTCTTTTGTCCCTGTGTCACTTGCGGAAAGACATGGCATCGTCTTCACTACAATGGCGATATGAGTGGTTATGAGATTGTCAACGTACCGGTACGTATCTTCTCCTCTAATACACCTATATCCTACATTCGATCCTAGCTCAACCCGCCTCATCATTCTCTTCTCCATGACTAACAAGACGCAACCACAGTGCCTAGCCTATGGCTACTCAATCTTCTGCTGCACCCCGCTCGCCCACCAATTTCTCGTCTGTATCCCAAACGCATGGCAAACATTCCGCATCCGCAGAATAGGCGATCTCGGCGGGACTTGCGCCGCAGACTGTACGAAGACATGGTTGTGCCCTTGCTGCTCGTTGATTCAGAACGAGAAGGAATCGAAACTGCTGATTGAAGGGCATAGGACAGGGTTTGGGGGTGGTGATGGCGCTGGGGCTGGGGTTGAGGGTGTTGTTGTACAGCAACCGAGTGGAGGTTTGGGTGAGGAGATGGTCATGCCCTGGCCACACAAGAAGAAGGTGCCCCATGCCCAGTCGCTGAATTGCCAGCGATCATGGAAAGTGTTGACGAGCGGCCGGACGGATCTGAGGCAGAAGCTCAGTCGGAAGATATAGAGGGCCCACTGAAGCGCACTTACACACCGATGGAACCGCCGCTTCAAGCACTACTCCCGAACCGATTGTGCCGGACGAGACTTTCAGCAACCAGACTTCCACTTCGCCTTTGATGGTCTGCCCAGTAGCAACGACAACCATATTCGGAAAATCTGTACCACACCAAGTTCCCACAGAATCGATTACGACTCCAGAATACTTCGAAATAGCTCCTGCGCAGGAAATCCTTTCCTACGCCCCTCACCACCCGGATAGGACGAGGATCTATTCGAACTCAGATACGACTAGCCAGCGTACTCGTCGTAACAGCGAGAGAGTGGTTCCAAATAATTTGGATTGCTTCGTGCCGTATATGAGATTCCTGGAGTAAAACTACCTTGAACGAGTGTGAATTCATAGAGAATTGGATTACTGGGTTATTGAAAGAGATGGATTGTGGATCCTATTTTAATTCTTGTCCTAGTACTTCTTCTCCTGGTTTGGTAATCCTGATCGACGCGTTTCTTGGCTGGGGGATTATCGATAATCCTATATTAATGTCAGAATTCGTTTTCCCTTTTTGAACACTCGTTGTGCTATCTCGAAGTCCTTTGTTTACTATTGTGACGAGCATTACTTGGCAAAGGAGGCGGAGAATAATTCTTCATCATGATATCATAATTCATTAGACATATAACGCATACGGCCGATATAGCGATTAGCAATCGGTATTCTCGCATGCGTTTGGAAACTAACAACATAAACTTTGTACATCTTACAGTCCACTCAGCCCATCCAGCAACGCCGTCAATCCACCAACACCCAACAACGCACCCGCCGCTGCCTTCCTCCCAGTGTAACTCTTCTTCCCATACTTATCCCTTTCCCTCTCCCTTTCCCGTTCTTTCTCGTAAATTCTGCTCCTCGACTTCGACCTACGTCGTCTGGGTCGCTCGAGTTCAGATTCAGAAGTCGTAATATCGTCATCGTACCGTCGATTGCTTGGGTTCATGTATGATTGGCGGAGAGGTGAAGCTTGTATGTGATAGTTTTGGTTTTGGAATTGCGGATGTGGGGGTAAGGGTGTGTTCGCGAAAGGGGCGTTTGGAGGTGGTGGGTAGTATGATGGTGCAGCTGCTGCGTTCATGGGCTGCGATGGATAGCCGTTGGCTTGGGGTGGGTACTGTGGTAGTCGTGGAGACTGAGGGAACTGTGGTTGCTGAGGTATGTATTGACTGGGTACTGGTATTTGGAGGTTCGGAGTGCGGGTCTGAATATTTGATTGCGGTGGTGGTGGAACGAGACCGGGTCCAGGCATTGATAGCGAGCGATCTAGCGGTGGTGGCCCAGGTGGCGGCGCAAAGTGCATTGAGCTGTTCGCGCGGTCAAGCGGGGGATGTGTGTTCCGCGGTACTGGTGTTCGATCGCGATCGAATGTGCTTCCTTTCAAGATACTAGGTGGTGGTGGAGGACGATTGAAAGATGATCTCCTGACTTGTGGCTGTTGAGGCGGAGTCGATGGTGCTGTCTTCCGGTAAATATCAACAGTCCTTTCGACAAGATGCTTGACCTGGTTGAATTGTAATGGCCGCTCGATGCAGAAGCATGTCTCGCCTCTTGTCCTCCTGCTATCCTTTCGCTCCTTTTGGTATTGCGTAAATCTGAAACCCGCCTCTCTGATTGCTTCCTTGCACACCCAGCTTGCCATGATCTCGGTCCAGCTGCTACGTTCCAGATAGGCCAGAGAATACGCTTGATCAGTGTTTGAGCTGACCTGTTTGGCATCAATGAAACGCCAGTAGTATTTGCGCGTACATAACTTCCACGGTATACCTAGATCGACCTCGCTGTCTTCCTCCTTCGCTTCTACCGCGGCGGCTGCCTCGACTGGCAGACTCCCCATACTTGATCGGGGTGAGGTAGATATGTACTGTTCGTTGGCGGCTGGTGGCATGCTCGTTCGCGATGTGTGAGGTGTAGAAACAGGTGTTGGCGGTGCATTTGGACCATACTGCTTCTCCTGTGGTGGACTGGGCGTATCGTTGACTTCAGTAAATAGCGGCTGTATGCTTCCCAGCCCATCAGTTCGCCGAGTACCATCGCCTGACAGCTTCGATCTGCGACTCTCTTCTTCACTATCAGATTCAACAGTAGCTTGTTGGTTTTCCCATCTCTGCCTTTGCATCTCGCGTTCTTCGTCCTGTAAGCGACGCTCAAATAGAGGCAGACTTGTCCATTGTTGCAGCAAGCGCTCCGTACGTGAAGCTGATATGCTCAAAACTGCAGGTAATCCATTCGCTTCGCTGTATACCGATGTGTCGAGGCTTGTCAAATCCTCATCCTGATATGAACGGAGACTAGATGGCCTAGGAATCTCGCCACGCTCTGTGATCACTAAGCTCTGAGAGCTGTCTGCCTCCATCAACAGGCGCGCGTCAGATCGTGGCAAGTGTTCGTAAAGATTTGATGCTGACAAAATTGACAGTTGCTGTTGAATGATGAGTGTCTCTAGTTGAACTTTTTCGTTGTCAACGAGTTTGGCGGCTTGCTGTGGAGATACCGTGGGACGTAGTCTACAACACTGTCAGCGTACTAATCCATATCATAGTCTACGTTGAGAGAATTGTAGAGCCATATCAATGTGGCGCGATCGAAAGCTGGGTGCCTTGCAAGGCCATGAAACTTACTTTGACCACATTATAGTCTGCGCTGCATATAGAGTTTGAAGCAGGACAGACAGTGTCATGCTCAATGCTTCCAGGTGAGCTGAAAGATAATCTAAGCTTGCTTTGGTCGAAGGATGTAACTGCGAACGGCTATTCTGAGTAGAAGGGGGATCGTCTCTTCGATCATGGTGCTTTTCGTCTTCGGTTGGTATAGTCGATTCGAAGCTGGCAAGTAATGTTTGAGCTTGATCAATGACATCGTCCAGAGTATCGATGGCCTAAACCCATGGTCAGCAAGAGGTTTCATAACTATCAAGAAAAGTATTAAGGTATGTTTCAGCTCTTCTCTCGTAACTCCAAATCCCTCAGTCACACAAAGCAAGTACGCAATATCTCGCAATCTTCCTCTTGCGAATCCCACCCACGACTCGAATCATTGTGTAATCTGTAACATTCTCTGATTGCATCATGGTTCGAAAAAATTCACGTACCTCAGGTGATGGTAAGCGATCATCCTCCTTGATGATGGTCCCAAGTTGCTTCAGTATGGCGGCAAATTCATTTATCTTATTCGCAACGCCAACTAGGTCTTTCGCAGCCGCAGGCGACTCAGCAGCAATGCCGTAGAACTTCAGTGCAAGAGCCGAACTCCTCGAAACCACCGGTAGTATATCTGCAAGCACCGCCATCTCTTTCTCCTAGTGGATTCAATTCCTAGATGGAAAAAAAGTGGCGAAATGAGCGGTGTGGAGAAATGGAGTCTTGGGGAAGAAGCACCCGAATCGAACAAAGTCGAAATCCTTCGGTATGTGTTCCCAACTAACTAACCCTAGAGTCGTGTGAGGTCATAGTGTAGGAATTAATGCAGGGCCCTCGTTGACCGACGACTAAATCCGGTGGAAATCACGGCTTGGTGATTGGTCAAGACGCACGGCTGAAGGTAGGCGAGCACGCGAACTGTTCAACTCATTCAGAGGTAGCCACAGGGCTGGGCAAAAATCAGTGCACTATAAGCATGTAAGGCGGAGGCTGTGCGCTCTCGTCAATGTTTCCGATAGATGCATCTGTGTCTGCATAGGACCTCGAGGGATTCCGCCCGCATTTGAAACTTGACGACTTAATGCTTTTTCTCACCCAGCATATGTGTCCAGTCATTTTGGCCCGAAGTATCCGCGGACAGAACCTTGGAGTGTTGCGCGTCAACAGTTGACTAGAGGCGCGCCAATGGTGTGGCACAGGATGACGCCGGCTATACGGGATCGAGTTGACCACCTGATGACTTTTTGAGGCTCAAGCTGAGGAGAGAAGACAAGCGCATTCGTGAAACTGTGTTCCGGATCTGCCTTGAGAGCCTGGCATCTGGTGGTGTGAGATGGAGCATCCGGTGAAGACTTGAAGACGTGGCTGTTGATCAGACGGCTTAGGCTTCTGATGGTGATGTGCTACAGGTCGGTGCATGTACACGCCGTATTTGATACGACTCGCAGCGCGGGGAGCAAGGTCTAAACAGCATTCAAGATACTTTGCAGCTGCAGCGATATCTGAAGGAGTTTTGGATGGTGGTGATCAGTTTGAGATGAATGCAAGTGTTGGAATGCGTTCGCCAAGCAAATGCACCGACAACTTTGGGGCAGCGACCACCCGCACAGATAAGACACATGCATTCTGAATCGACGAATTCAGCGAGAAGCAGTCATCGTGTGTTGCTATGTGGCACTAAATCCTTGTAGAATACATGTCCAACACCGGCCATGCAAAGATGCCCTCATGTCGTTTCGAGATGTCTTATACACATATGTCTACATGCAATATACAGGCCCCAGTCATATCCTAGTTGAAAAAGCTTCCATTCTGACGTGGTGACAGCGTTGCGTTCTGCCCCACAAAGTCCCAGTCAATCTTGTTCCACCACTTGTCGAGGAAAGCCCTCTTCCCCCGGACACCGTAGTCCTGTAGCCAGACATGCTCCCATGTGTTTACGCACAGTAGTGGTACTACATCGATGCCACCCAGCGGCTTCTTGGCCCTCTGGTCTTGCTGCGCCGCCGCCCCAAACGACCCAACCTTGTTCACTGCCTGGTACGAATCGACGTTGTGTGTGTTGAGATCGTGCGATTGCCGCCTGTAGTGAGCGCCCGACAGCGGTGATCCGGCGAGATATGTGGGCAGAATGCGCAGGCTTCCGAAGCTAGTGTCGTTGGTTTGCACGAGCCAGACAAAGCCGGGGCCAAACATGGACTCAGCCGTGGCGAGGAATGTGTCGCGCAGTGTTTCCATGGACGAAAAGTCCCGGTTGATCTGCTTCTGGAGGTCGGTGGATGGCCGCGATTGCACGTCTGGGTTGGTGTTGATGCCGCGGAAGAAGAAGTGGTTGTTGAAGGCCATGCTAGCGATGTTGAAGGCATAGGCTTTCATCGGGTCGCGGGCGAAATCTACAACGAGGGCCTTTGCTTCCTGGTTCTCGAAGGGTGTACCTGCAAGAGCGACATCAGCCTCTGGGACAGTCTTCCTTTTCAATCCCACCTATCGTACCGGCTGTCGACGCATTTAGCTCGTCAATAATGTGCCCTTGGTATTCGGTATACGCAGTATTGAAGCCCTTTGGTGAGAGCAGGCCGGGAACACCGTTCTGCTCTACCTGGGCATGGTTGTCCAGCGGGGGGATCGTGTAGATGCTGCGGGCGGGTGATGGTATTCTCTATCCCACGTCAGTTCACCCACGACGCATCTCCACAGCCCAACATACCCTCCAAGCCCCGGCCGCAGACTGAATGGCACCCGGCCGGCGGGCCAGACACCGTGTAATCATCATATGTGTGGTAGAATTCGGGCGAGCGATCGAATTGTCGTCGGCAAGTCGTTTCTCCAAGCTCATCTTTTTCCCGAGCCTCGAATCATCGCGCTAAAACCCCCCACCCAATCACGACGCGTCCTCGCCATCGCAGCCCAGGTGGGCAAAACTCGCCAAACTCCAAGCGCCTGCGTCACACGTTTCATCCACTCGACTGCTCGTCAACGCATAGCCACACAAACAAGACAGTCACCTGCCACTGCGACCGTGCTAGCTAAACCCTACACCCGCCATACAATGCCTATTGTCCACTCGGCGCGAAGCAGAGCTCTATTCTCAGAACTTAGCCGACGACATGGGTGGACACGATAGAGCCCAAATTTTCCCATCTCGCGGTGAGGAACGTCACTCGTGTCTAGTTCTTTGGTAGTAAATATACCCATGGTAAGGCGTGTCTTTGTCTATCCCATTGTTTCGTAGATCGCTTTCATACTACTTCCTTATCATCTCGTTTCACTCCGAGTCACTTCGTCGAGGTTCGCAGGTCCGACCTCTTGAACATAATACTGCCATAACGTTTCTATTCTCGAGACAATGGCTCCCATCACACCATCTCCCAGGCTTTCGAGGATATCCCTCATGTGCCTCTTCGTGTCGCTCATCACAACTACACACGCATCAAGTCTCTTCCTCCGTCAAGCAGAAACATGTGGAGGAAACACAGGCCTTCAGCAGTGCGGATCGGACTTCCCTTCCTCTTTTTGCTGCCCCAAGGACTCAACATGCATGTCTCTAAATGGTGGGAGCATACAGTCAGTCATCTGTTGTCCAGCCGGCTCAGATTGCGCCTACATCCAACCTACCACTTGCGATACCACGCAGCTGAACGCTACCCTGCATCCGGACAACCAAATGCATCTTTCAGAGACCGACGGAATTGACCTACCAAAATGCGGCGACAAATGTTGTTCGTTAGGTTACACATGTCAGGGCACTATGTGTGCCAAAGACACCTCCCCATCGCCATCTCCATCTCCATCTGCAACATCAACCGCAAACGCAACGCCTTCCTCCACCAGCCCAGCCTCTGCATCCCAAACTTCTGATTGTTCAGTAACCGCACCCCTCCAAACAAAGCAAGGCTTCGACGGCAAATCATTTGCAGCCGGTTTCTTCCCTGGCATAGTAATCGGCGCCCTCAGCACCCTAGCCCTGATCTGGATCATCAAGAAAAGACGCGAATCTCAGTCCAAAGAGCGCTACTCCGGCGACTTTGGCCACGTAGCCCGTCAAATCAGCGATCCCATCTACGACCCCCAACATGCCGCACGAACAGACTTCATGCGCCGGGGCAGCCACTCCGCCCACTCTTCTCCCAACTCAACAGATCGAATCGTCCAGGGCATGAAGGAAACAAACGCCAACCCGCCCGTCCACGGCTTCACCCCCAGAATCAAAAGCATGTGGGACCGCACTCCCAAACTAAACTTTGGCTTCACCGGCGGTCTCCCATCGAACCCTGCCCCTCCTGTCCGCGCAGGAAACTACACAAATCCCTACCAGACCCCGCCTCCGAAACCGAAACGCATTCACTCTGCCAGTCGGCGCACGAGTTCCCTACGTACAAGTACACAGACATTCAATACACTACAACCAGAACAACATCGTCCGAATGTAGTACGAAGCGGCAGCTCAGAGACTATCGACGTCTTGATGCCAGCACCGAGTTTCCTGGCACCCCCACAGGCACCGGGTATGCGGCGCGATAATCGCTATACGACGGATTCGGCCAACACAACTTTTACCAAACTCATGGAGAGGGCGGGGTTTGATGAGGGTGCTCAGCAGGAGGTCAAGGCGTGGAGGACGCCTCGAGCGTAGTTGTTCGCAGCATTCCCGGCCCTGCTTGGTTAGTCACTCGTTTGATGGTTTCTCTTCTCCTCGTACATATATTCTTCACTTTTTGATGGTCTTTTTGTTAGCGCTGGCGTTTGGGCATTCATTACAACAGGTTGGTACACTCACTGCATTTGCATTTACATTTGTCTTCGGCGTTGGTCCTTCTTTACATGATACCACATAGGCAGGCCTTTAGTCGCTCTCTACGAGCTCGTTTTCTTATCAATCAACCCTAAATATCAACATTAACATCAAATCGTTCCACCATCTCATGATCGTAGACTTCATCAGATATCTCGTTGTTGTAATTGTAAATACTCATCTAGAGATCGTCTGCGTAGATCTCACCAAGCATGCCCTAGGTATATATCCATATCAACTCAGCGCAAAGCCAATGCACCTATTCGCTCTACCAAGCAACGCTCAGAACCTAGTAGCATCGCCCCCAACAATTGGCAAAGTCTCAGCGAAATCACCACCGGACATGTTCACATCATCATCATCATCATCACTCGACGCCGCACCACTCGGTCCCGCACTACCCTCCCCGCCACCCTCGACTCCGCAGCCTGCGCCCTCAGTTCCCGTCCAACCTCCCTTTCCAACACAGGTTTCGCCGCTTTCCTCTGTTTACCAAACAGACAATGCCACAAATCGTCTTCCTTGACAATCTCACCCTCGCCCTTCTTGCGGAGAAGTTGTTTAAACGGTGCGTTTTGGAGCTCAGCAGAGTTTGCAGCATCGAGTGTCTGTTCTTTTAGAGCAGGGGTCATGGAACCGGATCGGGTAGGTGCTTTGGATGAGGTGTTATTGCTCATGTGCTCGAGACGTCTGGCAACGGAGATGTCGTAGATGGCTTCTTCAACCGTGTCGCTAACAAGGTACATGAAAACCGTCGTAGGTCGTTGTTGTCCGATTCGATGAACGCGGTTGATAGCTTGGAGTTCGATTGCGGGGTTGATGAGCGGTTCGCAGAGGAAGACGTACGTGGCGTTTACCAGAGTCAGACCTGAAGAATCGGTTTTGGCATCTAGGAGCAAACACTCGATACTGGGGTCTGCCTTGAACTTTCGGATACCGTCTTTGTCGGTAATGCTGCTGGCGCCAATCTTCCACTTTTTGAGCGCTTCGTGGAGTACTTCGAGGAAGTCGCCAAATTGGGAGAAGATGATTGATTTGGCGCCGGGGTCGTTGTTGCGGATCCAGATTAGATGGCGTGCAATCATGTCGATCTTTGTGCCGTATGAACCTTCTAGATCGATCATCTTGATCTCTTTCATCGTTGAGTCAGAGATGTCGGAGTAGATGGATGTGGTTGACGAAGAGCCTGGCGTAGAAGCTTGGGTCGGACTGGCAGGTGCATTCGTCTCCTCCTTTGCTTTGATCTCGGTTGGTTTGAAAGTGATGTCCTTGAAGTCGGACCCCGATAGCTTTTGCTTACAAGTCGGGCAGGATCGATGCACCTGCCACCATTGATTGATACATTCTTTACAATATTTGTGACCGCAAGCTGTCAAGACGCCAATCTCAATATCGTCCCTACAAATGATACACTCGGCAGTCGCTTCGTTTTGGTTTTCAGTTCGTAGATGCTTTAGATAAGTGCACTTTGTCTTGAAGCCATTAGCGAGGTCCTTCTTCTTCTCTCGCAACTGATCTGTCTTATTGAACTCGCGCACGTCGAAAGTCTCATCCAACTCCTCCTTGTACTTTGCGACGGTGTCGGAGATATGTTGGAACTGTCGATAGTACTCCAGACGCTGGTTCATGGTGCCTCGGTACATTTCCTGCTCTTTCTCAAGTTCTGTGATAGCCTTTGCTTGTTCTGTGACTATGGCTTGAACTTCAGCGATCTGCTTTTGGAGGATGCCAAGCTCCAAGGAAGCGCGAGCATCACCACTGTCCGCCCTCCATTGCAAAGCCGTGACCAGTGAGCGGATGCCAGATACAACGCCTTTCAAAGACCCAGTTTGTAATTTCGCTTGAAGTCCGCGTCTTGTATTGACAATATCAAGCAAAAGTTGAGGCGCGTGACCTCGATCGCCTTCCTCGTCTCCCTTCAGAGCTTGCTTTTCGGCAGCCTTGAGCTCGTGTTCGACAAGAGTATCTTGTAGACCGTTCACAGCAGCATTACGGTCCGCGACAAGGGTTCGGAGAGCCGTGATGTAGACGTATAGCTCATCCTGAGCCTGAAGTGAGTCATCGTACTCTTCACCCGTCGTCTCTTCGTCATCGTCATCATCTACCAAGCGCGTTAGGAGGATGTCAACTATCTTCGTACGCCATGTTTGTATCAGCTGAGCTTGTTCATTTAGATAATCGCTGAGGTTATCCATTGTATCGAGAATCTTCCGCGCCTCGATACCTCCCAGATCTGGAAGGTCGGCGATCGTGGCTATTTGGTGGAAAGGCTTTTTGGAATCGACTTTAGCCATTTGCTGCTGAGCTCTACCCTTCGATTCCTTCAGCAGTTCACGGCGAATTACCCTGGCTGCTTCGTAGTCATTTGTTTCAGACTTGTCTTTTTCGCGCCAATCATCCGAGTCTGGTTCCGTGAGTTGTGGGTTTCCTTTAATCTGATGCCAGGCCGTGGCGGTAAAGAACTGAGCGGCATGCTCAAGCTCCAGAAAAGATCGTAGCGATTTGCGCAGAACTGGGATACGGCCCATGTTGTCTCCATCCATCTCTTCGTCTTCGTCAGCCTCACGAAGGCCGGCTGTAGATGCGCGGCCCAGCTTCTGCTGTTCCGCTAGTAATTCGGCTCTGCATATCGCAATGTATGACTGTGCCTCTGTTCGCGCTTTATCATAGTACTCAAGAGACGACTTTGCTCTAGCGGCGAAGTTTCCAGCATATGCTTGAATGTGACCCATCTTGATCAAACAGAGGACCATTTCGCGAGCCTCCGCCTTCCATTTTGTGTCATTCTGCTCTATCATGACCTCCAGAACTTCGTGTACGGTACGTAAGGCACCGTTCTTTCCACCCAACGCTTTTCGATTCTTTCGGCCTACGTTCGCATGGAGACAGGTCTGGCGCAGTCTGACTAGCCACTCCCGCATGCGCTCGACGACGTCTGGATGGGTCTCGTCACGACCTTCGTCTATGGGTTGTCCTTCGGGCGTGAGCCAGCATGCATCACACATTTGGCGTATCATCTCATTGTAGTGCTGCTCCTCGATGGTTGTGAACGGAACAGTGATGACTACACGTTTCTGCGGCGGTATTTGAAGGTCATCACGAACCCTTGCTTTCGTATTTCGTACGCAGATCTCGTTGAAAATGCCCTTGAATGACGCCTTGTCCAGACGACTCCAGACTGCCTTGTTATTTGCAAATGCATCGCATCTGAGGAAGATCAAGAGACCACGTAGATCCTGGACATCTTTGCGAAGGGGAGTTCCGGAAATCGCCCATGCATTACACCGGGGGATGATTCGAGCTACTTGGGCGGCCTGACTGACCCCGCTTTCCACCATCTGCGCTTCGTCTAAGCAGACTCTCCACCATGAGATACCGACAAGGGGGCTATGTCGGCGCTCGTGGCGTTTGGGGCGCCGGGAGCTGCGATCAGGGGGAGGTACAGCGTGATGGATCTCTTTCGAAAGGACCTGGTATGTCGTCACTACTACATCGTGTTGCATGAGATAGGCGACTGTGGCTGTGGCATGGGCTTTCTTTGGTGCAGATTGGGGTGGTAAACCCTTGTAATGGCAGACTTTGAGATCCGGAGCGTGGGCATGTATTTCGCTCACCCACTGGTCCAGAATCGAAGGAGGGGTGATAATCAACGTAGCACCTGAGGGTCTAACCTGAGCCCCAGTATATGTGTCGTAGATGTTACCCTCTGGAACATCCCGCTTGTGGTGCGATACGAGCGCGATCAGCTCAACAGTTTTACCTAAGCCCATCTCTTCGGCGAGTATACCGCCGCGCAGTGACTGCAGAGTGTCGCCCTTGACAGCATCTAAATTTGTGACTATAGTGCCGCGCAGCTGACTGACGTAGCACTGTACCCCTGTCGCGTCTTGCGTCTGCCTAAATGATGCTGGTGGCGAAGTGTTGAAAAAAGGCTTCAGCAAACCAGAAGATGAGAATGTCACACCTTCGCGACGCAAGAGCCAATCAACAGTCCTCTCTTGGAAAGGCAGAAGCCTGGTATCGACCAAACTCTGTTTGATACGCTGAGAGACCTCTATGTCCGCCGGTGGTACATGTACTGAATCGTAGAAATCGGACAGGGTCCATGACTTGTCGCCTTTTGCAGCCGCGTCACTCATGTAGGTCGAGAGGAGCTTCAGGTCCTCATTCATATAATGACCCCGAACCTCTGGATCCTCAACCACCGATATGCCCAGGGTCCACCGTATCTCCACTACCAACTTGTATAAACTGCGTCCATTCGCGGGTGGGTACAGTTGACAGCGACAGAAGGCAGCCCGAGTCACAGGTTTGGACTTCTTGCCCTGACGCATAACCGAAAGTGTAGTGGCGGTTCGTAGGTGGGTAATGATCGAGTCTATGAAAGGAACAGAGGTTGTGGCGACCAGGTCGATACCCGTCTCGTTGACCGCGTTCCAAAGTCTCACTTGCAAAGCCGCTCTTGCGTGGTCTCTCTGGCAGGATTCAAGTTCTAGTTGTATGGGTCCTTGCGACGCGTTCGAGGTGTACGTAATTTCTATGGAATCCTGCGAAGGGGTAGGCATGTTCTGCATACATGTTAGTTGAGCATCACGAGAGTCGACCAGCCCACCGACCAAATCAATAGATACTTTGGCCAAGACAATGCTATCTTTCATATCCAAGTCCGCCTGCGGACGTACAGGAATAGCATTGCCATTTCCAGATTTGCGCCGCTTGGGCGATGGCCCTTGTTCCCTATGGGCAACAGGCGCAGCGAATAAATGCTGTATAGTACGGATGCAACTCGAAGCATCTTGCGCCGGAAGCGATGACGGGCCACCAGAACTCCGAACATCGATCTTAGAAAAGGGAGTTGCGCTCAGAAGCTGAGCACTACCCTCCAAAGAAGCCATAATGGCTATCGAGTCGAGGGTCGTATCGGAAGAAGATTGCTGTGTAATGAGGGACCAGGCGAACGCGGGTGTGAGCGAATGTCCAGGCCCGCAATCGTGGACACGCTAAGATAAGTGATGGACCAGGGTCAGCCCCACAACCAGGCATCAGTTCAAGCTCGAGCTTGGCCACCTTCACCATCACCCCTCACCCCTCAACTGTACCCAAGAGAATTCTTCGCCTCACATGTGCAGATAATGACTTGGGAAGAGGAGGCTTGAAAATTAGGCTTCATGCGAAAAGTGAGTTTTGGTGATAACTAGCTAGCTGTCCCTTTTCTGCTATATGAGTTGAAGCCATCTTCGAGCTGCCATTGTTCTTATACAGATGCCGTTGCTTTGAACCACCCATAAAGTAGACCGTTCTATCTGCACTTTGGCGACAATTGTCTCGTTCCTCAAAGAAAGGGCAAAGAGGTCTACCAGACGGACATGTATACTCCCGAGGCTCAACTGAGCGCATCCTTGGCATATTGTCCATATATGCGTGGTGCCTTTGGCTCTGTCCGTGGTCGGAAGGTTGCGTCTTAGTAGCTTACAAGGGAGCAGTCATCGGCGCGGGGTGGTCGCTAATAGGCGACATTGGAAATCCCGTCTGTATGGCCGAAGGTTACTGTGTTCGAGCCTTCGTTTCGAACTTGTCCTTCTCTACGATGTTGACGTCTCTAGGTACAAGTATAAGCGTAGTTCCACTATTGCGCGGTATCAGGTCCATAAAATCCAGTAGCAGATATTTACTCTGTGGCCAGCACTTTCTTGATTGGTTCTGCAGCCTCAATAAACTTTTCGACCATGGTATCCAGCTTGGTGAGATCGTCCTTGCCCTTCTTGACCTCTGCAATAAGCTTCTGCTTCTGCTTGAGCTTCTCCTGTCGCCGCTCTTCAAGCTTAAGACGGACTTGGTGTTCGTGCTCGATGCGCGCAGTCATGAGGTCGTGGTCGGTCGAATCTTTGTGCTCGGGGAACTGTTCGAGAAACTCTTCGCGGGAGATGAGCGGCAGCTTCATGTATTTGTGACTATCCAGATGTTAGCTTTGCATGCAGCCTTTCGCATAGAGACATACTCGTAGTTCTCGGCAGCAGAAATCTCGGACCGCAGCGACTGCTCCTCGTACTTAAGATTATGGAGACCCAAGATAAGCGCGTCATTCACAGCCCTGTCATCGGAAGTCTTCGCCTTTTCCTCGCGCACTTTGAGTACGCTCTGCCGGTACAAAGTCTTGACGATGGACAGTTGCGCGCGAATGTACTTCTCCCTCCTCTCGATCTCTTGCGTGGCCTTCTTCTCCTTATCAATGTCCTCACGTGAACCTGGCTTCGGGTTCTTTGGATGGGCAAGCTGGTAGTCTACAAGCTCGTTGATGAGCTTCTTGAGGTTCTGCACTTCTTTGTACAGACGCGCATTGTGCGGCGTCTTGATGAGATCGGCAATGTGGAAGGTAGAGAGATCGGCAGGCATCGCGTCTTCAGACTGCGCGACAGGGGGTTGCTGCTCACTCATGTTTGGGGGCCTTTGTGGGCTGTGGTCACAATAGTTGTTGTGCCTGTGCCCAAGTCGAGTCGCAGTGAACTCCGCCGCCCGGGCGATTAGTCATGTCTTGGCAATTCAGTCACATGATTTCGTGTTTCTTTGGCGTCCGCTGTCACCTAGGTACTAAGGCTGCCTTCCTTCACAACTCTACAATCAGGCCGAACTCCCGGTAGATGTCCCAGCACATCCAATAATTGCCTGAGGTCTTGAGCGCGCCACATCTGATCAATCTGGGTATGCGACGCGCAGTAGCACTGGGACAAGATAAGATGTGCACCAGAGCCTGGCCCTTTTAATCCCATAGCGCGCCACACATATCCTCGCCTATCGCCCTGGAGCATCGTGGAGGGATGTCCACATTGAGCACACCGCGCACTAGACCGACCATGCTCAAAGCATTGGTCATCCGTTCAACTAGTGCAAGTGCCAACATTGAGCAATTCAGGCATGCACACACACCGTGGCTGCGTGGTTCGAGGGCTACCCTTCCTCAGCTTAGGTGACCTGGTATTGGGGGTTGTGATGTATATATCACATCTTGCATGTTGTGCATGTCGAAGCTGTGAATCGGATTGCAGGGATGTGTGCAAGATTTCAGAGCTGGGCACAACTGCAAGGAGACCATTTAGTTCAGTGGAGAACGACAGGCCTCAGTATCTCGGGTTCCGGTGCCGATGCTGTCGTTACCTTTCAATACACTCGCCAAGCGTACAGATTCCGTGCTTCCGATGTCAAGCTGACTCGTCTTCTATCGTCATGCCCAACCCTTCCTCAGAACTTCATCTCCGATCTTGCATAACCGTGCCGCTCAATGACACGCTTCTCTTTTTGCCAAACAGTGTGTGCTTCCATGAGCGACGAAATTCATCACAAATACTTTGCCACACAAGTTGCTATCTTCTGGTATCGACCCGAGCCCGCACATCGGCGAAATCAGTATACCATAGTAGACCCGACGAAGTCCCATTCTGCTAGCAAAAACGGCGAAGTGCTGAAGAGCGGCCCAGAGTTCTTGACTTCGCAGGTACTGGACGCGCACTATCAATAGCGCGGTCACGGCAGGCCTTAGCGTCATGCTAGGCGATTTAGGATCTGAGCTCGAGATGAGAAATTGCGGAGGATTTGCATGACGGCAGACGCCCAAGATTTGCTTTTCCATGAAGATCATTGCGTCGTTCAGACTTTGAGCCACCGCCAACGCCTCATTTCAAACGGTCTGAAACGTCGAGGGACCCGCTGGAATATACACGACTCACTAGAACCCTCTTGATCAGCAAGCTGTCCGGAAGCCTTCTTCCTCGGCAAGAGCTCCCAACGGGCTTGGCTGAAAACCTGGGACTAGTGAGCCAATCTTTGCCCTTTTGCATCTTGCATCATTGCGAAACCTAGTTCGGGACCAATTATATCGGACATCCACGAAAGACATCTTGACGGCTTCCACACGCATGTGGGTTGACTAGGCCTTCCGCTATCCTCGTGGACGAAGAGTTTCAGACCCACCTTGGATTATTCGAATTTTAAGACCTTGTCATTTGTCCAAACGGATTTTCAAGCATAGCGGAGATATGTCCGATGAGATCAGGCCTCGCTGCGGCTGTTAGTGGCACCGACCATAGATCGATTCTGTGTGGCACAGCTAGCGATACGATTTCGACGCCAGGGGTAGACGAGGTTTCAACGAAGCTTCGGCGACCCTTCTGGCAATCCCTAGAGCACCGAAGCGCCTCTTCACGGGGCGACGAGCTTCAGGTGTCTGGAACTTCACCACACTCTAGCAAAACGGCGCACCATCCATTCAAGTGTTGTACTTCGGGCCGTGCGACGCGAATACAGTTTGCGTGCTTACATTGCACGCAAAAACATCACGAGTGGAGCTAGACAACGCGGAAACACGAGACCGATGGACCCCAGATGGGAGTTGCCGATGTGTGGTTGGTGGGCGAATGCTCGTTTGCCTTTCCCGTTACGTTCGGCGCCTTGTTCATGCAACCACGACTGTACCCATGCGCGGCTCGTTCACTGGGTTGAACGTTGACGGCTGATCCCACATGAGTTGCATTGAGCAGTTGCGCAGGCTGTCAAGTTATACATCGTACTCTATCATAAATTCTCGAGATGATGTCTTGTATGCCGACTATGGAGCCAGTTGGAATGGTTTCAGTTCCTCGCATGGCCAACGCCTAGTTCATACATGCATGCAAGCAGCACGAGGCAGCCATCTAAGTGTGGACTAGAATCTCGAGGAAGATCTGCCCGCACGATGCTCGGCTAGTAGTAGTGTGGCATGCAGCTGTGCCAGCAGGCACAGTCTGCAAGCTGCAGGCAACAGAAAATGATATTCACTGGTGCTACATCTTGCTAAGCTGTGTAGCGCTCGACCTGTTCCCGAATATGGGTTGCGGCCCACAGCACCGACCGTATGTTTTCCCCTTATGCACGCGTATTTTCACGTGGAATGGCAGGTGTCATCTAGGATGACCCTAGGATACCCTGGGGTGTTGCCATACGACCCTTGGCACCAACCCCGGCGAAGGCGACAACCCAAACCTTATACCGGGCCTTTAGATCCTCCACTACAAACTTAGAGCTATGACGCGACGCGATTCGCCTGGCCGCGCCTCCTTGACTCGATATTCATGCGGGCTAGAGCAGACGGACGGCCTGGCTTACCACGGTATTTGTAGTGCGCCAAAGATAGTCTTTAGTCAGGGCCCGCGAATGCATTGTAAAGAGGTCTCATTGACCCGCTTGTTCGTCTCTTCGATTTCCCCAGCATTCGTTCATTTTTACCATCTTCGTTATGGCTCCAGCAAAAGAGACGTCGGTTGATCTGTGCAAACGGGTCAATGCACAGGGAAACACCATAGCGATTCGCATGCTCGAGTATCTGAGCACAGCAAAGACTCCTATTCATGGCTTCGAGCCACTTGCCAGAGAGTTCATCGAGCTCTGTCAGGTATTATGGACCATTGAAGCTGGTGTCACGGAAGCGTCGAAAACACGAAGTGGATTTCCTGTTGAGGTATCTCAAGAACTCGACAGGAGGGTTCGTCAGGTTAACGAGGAGTTTTCTGTTCTAGCTCAGATGGTCAACAAATGTAAGTCTTTCCGATTTATGTGTTGAATGATTCTTGAATAGGACGATTGAGCGGCCATTGCGAACCTTGCTAACTACGGCACCTGTATTAGTTGTCGACAAGGAGAACCACAAAGGCGGCTTCGGCATGAAGTTTCGAATGATGTTCGCAGATACAGATGTCGAGAAGATGCGCCACACACTTTCACGGAGTCGTGACTCCCTCAAAGTCAGCTCCGCTATGTTCAGATGGACACTTGGCGACGCACGAGCTGATGCCTCCATGGGAATTGGATACGCCGGACTGATCGCCGCCTTGGAGCGATTGAACCCAAGCAAAGCCGCCAGCCTTCCACCACTACATCCAGCACCGACATCCGATCTTCCACCAACACCACCTACGAAAGCTCCGAGCCATCATGGAGACCATCCACTTTTGCCACCTTCACATGTTTCACACCGTATGGACAGGCCATCTTTGAACGAACTTCGCCACGAAGAGGGTCACTCATATGACAGCCACAGTTCACATTTCAGGCACGAAGATACGGGTCTTTCACCTGGGATCGTCGACCTACAGAAGAACTGGCGTGCACCAGCTAGTGCTCGTTCCAGTGAATCCACCAGGGACACAATGTACCACCAGAATACTCGGCATCATGAGGATCCAGTGTACGAGGACTACGCGTCACACTCCAGCACCCGGCCACCCACAATGGAAGAAAAACTGCATGGTCTCAGCGTCAACGAGCGCTACATGGATGACCATCACTCCTCATCCAAGGTCGATTCTCCTATCACATCGCCGCACTGGGCGCCACGCCAGAGTGGAGGTTCAAAGAACGTTGGTGGCAAGGCAGCACTATTCAGCGCTGTCGAGCAGAGGAGACATCGGATGCTAGAGCAGCTTCTCGACGGCGGCGCCAGAGCTGAACCTCACATGGAGTCTGCAATGCTTCGCGTCGCTGCGCAAAACCAGGACGCGGAAAGTATCATGCTACTTCTGCGATATGGCGCAGACGCTAACGGTTTCGACCGCGAGGGTATCACTCCCTTGTTTGCTACCACTCGTTCCCAGTGCCTTGAAAGCGCAAAGATACTGCTCAAGCACGGTGCTGATCCTAATTTGTCTGCTGGCCCCGAATCCGAGTCACCCTTATCTTTGGCTGCTTCCCAGAACTACATTGACTTTGTTCAATTGTACCTCGCCAACGGTGGCGATGCTGGATTCGTCATGGAGAATGGCTCTACAGCACTCGTCTCGGCCATGAACAAGACCACCTCGCCTAAGTGCGTTGAAATGCTCCTCAGCAAGGACGGAGATGCCAACGCGAAGAACGGAGAAGGCACAACTGCCTTGTTCCAGGCTATTCAGGCGAACCGTGTAGATCTCATGACGGTGTTGCTCGACCACGGAGCGAACCCTAACCTTCCTGGTCCTAAGCACCCGCTCTGGCCATCTATGTACAAGCCCAAAGCTCTTCAACTGCTGCTTTCTCGTGGCGCGGACACAAAAAAGACACCTGGTGTGATGGAACTGGCTTCCAGCTTGAAGAAGCTGGATTCCATTAAGATCCTTATGGAAGCCGGTGTGTCGCCCAACCTCCGGAAAGATGGTGTTTACACCCCGCTCTGCTCAGCCATTCGTGACAACAGCCCGGAGATCGTCACCTATCTGCTAGAGCACGGTGCGGACCCCAACTTCAACGCGGCGGAATACCCCGCCTTCAAGTGTATCACACACAAGCGCACACATTTCCTTCCGCAACTAGTCGCCGCTGGGGCAGACCTTAACAAGCCTAAAGGTATCATCGAGACGGCCGTCAAGTTTAATGACAAGGATGCCATGATTTACCTACTTGACCAGGGTGTCAGTCCTAATGATCGGACACCGGACGGATGCACAGCGCTCACTACCGCTATCAACGACGACCACGGCGAACTCGTTGATATACTTCTCGCTCGTGGCGCAGATCCAGCCATTCGTGGAAAGGAGTGGCCTCTTTGCATGGCCGTCAAGCGCCCTGCCATCCTCAAAAAGCTCCTTGCCGCAACTCCCAACCCGCGTGCCTTCCGCGGTGTCGTAGAGATGGCTGTCGTAGCCAACCAACTCGAAAGCATCAAGCTTCTCCTTGCAGCAGGCGTTAGCGTAGAAGACAAGAACTGCGGCGTTTTCTCCCCGCTCACAACAGCCATCCGCGAAGAGCGCAAGGTCATCGTCCGCTACCTCCTTGACGTCGCGAACGCCGACCCCAATGCCCCTGGCGAGCATCTTCCTATCGTCAAGGCCCTTCGTCGCTACTCCGGCGACACAGAAATCATTCAGATGCTGCTCACACGCGGCGCTGACATCAACAAAATGCACCGCGGCTGGAACGCGATCCTGCAAGCCGTCGAGAATGGCGACGCTGAGATTCTCAAGCTCCTTATCGACATGGGTGGCCAACCCGACCTTCAGCTGCAAGACGATTCCGGTCGAGCCGTCATCGACATTGTCACTGAGAGGGGTTGGGAAGAGGGTCTCGCGCTCCTGTTCCCGAACGCTGCCAGCGCTCCCAAGGCCAACGTGTCAAAGGCCAGGTAGTAGGTAATCCACCACTGCTTTCTCTTCTTATCACCTTGCGGCAAGCAGAGTGCTGACTAGCCGCAACAGTAACAAGAAGAGTTTCTCCATCTCAGACTGGCGCTGGATGAGCGTCGAACTCGAGAAGGGGGAGATGAAGAGCAGTGATGACGAAGATGGAATCCCGGACGACTGTAGTCAAGCTTCCAGTGAGCTATTACATGCATAACTAGAAGTTTGATCTTTCCGATTGGTTTTCGCCTGCTGGTAATAGAAGTAATGTTGGCTGGGAGGTTTGGGCTGCTTACGCATTTTCGCAACGGAGTTCTCGGTATACCACCTGTTGTTTAGCATTTCCTCTCTTTTGTTACTTATGACAGTGGGAGGATTTGGAGCGTGCATTCAACTACTTAATCGGTAGCGTCTTTTTCGTATGTTCAAACAGATTTTTATCTCTGCATATCATTCCTTCAATGCACATATACACACGCATACATGCAAACTTGAACTCCTTCTTGCCCAGTCTTCACAACAACCTTACAACCCATTGCATTCACCCATCACATACCCCTCTTCTACACACCATCCCATAATTACCAACCTTCCCTCGGTCCGAATACCTCCTCATCTAGGCGTCCACTGAGGCGTCCCTAGCTCAGGTTTATTACCCTGCGTCAAACGATACACCTTAGTTTGCCACGTCCGCCTTGCACATACCATCTCTGTACACACCCTCATTTCTGCCCCCGCCTTCTAGACTTTCTGGACATACAACCCATACTCTTAGTACCAAACGCTAGAACCGAAGGCTTGAGGCTAATCGCTTTCGCACTCGTGACAACGCATATATGCGGAAATGCGTTATCTTAGTGTAGGTCTAGAAATAAGCTAGCCCATAGATAAGCTGGCCACCCGGGTAAGCTGGCCACCCCACCAAAACGAGACACCTACACAAAACACGCTATATCTCTCAACAACGCTTTACAATTGCCATTAGCTACACATAGATTGAAGAGTTGCAGCTGCTGTAGCTGCTGCAGCCCTCTCTGTAGCCCTCTCTATAGTAGCTCTATCTCGCTAGGCCGCTGTAGCTGCCAATCTATGTATTGCCGCCATAATATCCTCAACTTCCGCAAAGCGTTAATTTAGGTCTACTTAGACGCGCTTGCGAGGGGCCTGAGGGAGAGCGATCTCTAGTTCAGCCTCAAGGCGTCTTTTCTCTGCTTCTAGCCCTGCTGCTCTCGTATTCGCACTTGCCAGCGCCTTGCCTGCTTTCTGTAGCAGAAGCCGAGTCTTACAACCAAGATTTTTATAACTCTAGATGTCCTGCTGCGCAAGGTAGATATCGCAAGGGCCCTAGGGTGTAGAGAGGAAGGCCTCAATAGGTAATCGAGGTTGCTTTAGGCGTAGAGGTGTAGCTAGCTGCTGCGAGACTTACAATAAGCTAAGCACGTAATTAATATTAAATGGGCAGAGGCCAGCAGCTCGCCAGCCAGCTCAAATCACACGCTCTATAAAGCCTTCCTCTCTAGCTTAATAGTAGCAGGTAATAAAGCGCTCCTTCTTTACAGGCGCTGCGTCGTTAAGCGAGGCTAGGTCCTAGATCTGCTAGCAGTAACTTAACTTAATAACAGAGAATAGAGCAAGGTCTAGAGGCTGTAGGACGTGTGAGGAGTGCGCAGGTAGATAGAGGAGGTAGATCTTGTGCTGTTTGCAGAGCAGGAGGAAGTCTAGACTAATATAGCTGCCATAACTGTCAAGAATTAGGAGTTAGTATTAACCATCTGCTAGCGCTGTCTTAGGGAGAAATATACGCTGTAGCCACTCAAGACCTATCGCGTTTAAGGTCCATCCATTCTCAGACGTTGTATAGAGCCAGCTAAGTACTAATTTAGCTAGGAACCAGGTTGTCTGTAAGCTCTAGCCCTTAAAGATAACCGCGCAGCGTAGCTTCCGCCCTATCGCTAACACACACTCAACTATTAACACCCACTCGCGATTTTCTAGCGACTTAACGTCAGCCTTCTTCTTTAATGCTCTAGCAAGGACTCTAGTATTCGTACATACGCCTAAGGCAATCCCTATCTCATCTATATTATATGTATTCTCTGCCTATATACTAAGGCGTCTCGCGTCTGCTCATAGTGCTTAAGGAACGCGCGTAGCTAATCTAGCGTAGCCGCCTCAACTCTCTAAGCGTCGATCTTCCAGCTAATAACTAAGGCGACGCGTAGCTAGCGCTTAATAAAGTAGGAGACCTAGAGCTTGCCAACAGGCTAAGCGTCGCCATTTATACGCAGGATTTGATTCGCCATTTCTCGCGCGCGCGCGTGTAGAGGGGGGTAGCCGCGAGCGTCCTCTTCGAGGATCCAGTTAACAAGGAAATCCTCTTGTAGAGGGGTCAGCCGCTGCCAGTGCTAATAGCTAATGCGTCTGTTAGTGACGCCATTTAGGCGCGTCGAGAGAGTTGACTAAGGGATACCGTACGCCTTAGCTGCAGCTCGCTGGCTAGAATAAACGCCTATGTTAAGATCGCTAATAGCTAATTGTAAGGCTACTTCACGAGCGTCCATATTGAAAAGCGTTGTTGAGAGATATAGCGTGTTTTGTGTAGGTGTCTCGTTTTGGTGGGGTGGCCAGCTTACCCGGGTGGCCAGCTTATCTATGGGCTAGCTTATAGGTAGAACTAAATCGGCGATCGCAATTGCGCCACATCCGCTGCGGGTCGTTAGGGGTAGATCATGGTGCCTGGGAGGGGGGGTACGGTAGTTATGCGTTGGTTGGTAAAGTCTGCTCGGGTCCCTTCCGTCTTGGATCTCGGCACGGGAGTAGATTAATTAACATTATCCGTGTTCCGGGGATGGCCTTAGCTCAACAGCCGGATGAGGGCGTTCGTTTCGAGCGCTGGCTTGCCCCTCTTAAGAGTAACATTCACAAGCGAGTTCTTCGCACCACGAACGCAAATCGTCAAGTTTACATAGTGTGCATATGAGTGATATCATTAAACTAATCATGATACATGCTTCTGCCCCAAGGAAGGGCCCGGGCCCTCCAAATCTTCTAAACAAAAGGAACGTGACATTGCGTAACAAAACCGAAGGGTATAAGAATAAATCGGTTTCCCGTAAGAGCGTGAATGCGGTGAAGTTCATAAAGTCGTGGACCAAGAAGTGGGTCATCCAACGTATTTTTTGGTGCGTGAAGTGAAAGGCAAGCGCGAGCCTAACTGCGAATGCTCAAACGCGATGAAAGAGAAATAGGAAAGGACGGTCACACATAGATCGTGGGAATCGTGTCGAAAGGAAAGGGCTATGCGGACGCTGCATGTGGTCGCAGTGCTCGGTGGCGCACTCGAGATGGGCGTTGTAACTCTCAATCGCCCAAAGCGCCCTATACGCTAGGAAGCCAGAACGAGAGCAGAAACTGGCCCACAAGACGTGACGTATACTTTGTCTGGTTATCACTCGAGATGCTGACCTGCTGCCGTTGTTGTAAGAAATCGACTGGATCGATATTAGCAGTACGTTCGTCCGTCATACCCACATGGGAGCGGGAGCGGAGGGACTTACTGTTTTCCTTGACCAACTGCGCAACTTGTCTCACGAAGCTCACACTGCTTGCATCCCCGAAGCCCACTTCCTTTTCCCAGTCGTGATCTGCATCACGCATAGGGTTGTGCTTGCGGTTGTACTTCCATCTGAATATCTGCTGCACGAAATGCATCCTTTGATCGATCTCACGACACGCGATATCCGCCTGGCTCTGCGCGTCTCTCTGATCCAAGCCCTCCGTGGTAGCCTTGGTGGACATAACAAGGTGTATGGTCTTTTGCTGGTCTTCAAGTGCCATGCACATCCCTAGCACCGCAACAAAGGCTGCAAGCCATTTGTCACAACCTTTGGAAGATTTGAAGATTTGCTGGAGCTTGTTGAGGACAGTGGTTTGGATAGAGCGTTGGAGGCGCGAGAAGAAGTACTTGAGTTGCCGGTTGGTCATGCGCGGCGATGTGTAGTTCTCGACGTAGGAGTTGTGGCCGCCGTACGAGTGCATACGGGATAGTGTATCGACTTTAGTTTCCTCGGCGATAGTGAGCGTGTGTGACATGATGAAGGTTACTACGATGAGGCGGAAAATCTCGCGGAGTAATTTTGCTTCATCTTCTGATTTGGGTTTCACACGCGTCATCAGCTTAAAGAGTTTCTGCTGGAAGTCGTTGTCGTCTTCCATCCAACAGAGTTCGCCAAAGGCATCGAGGTGGTGATCGACAATTTCAGTGATGTACCTGTCGTACTTCTTTTCTTCGTTGTGGTTGATGTGTACCATGCCTAATGCTGGGCTTTGCTTCTGAATAGCGACCCTTGCATGTGTGACAGGGTCGGTTCTGTACTGGATTTGTACCAACAAAGCGTCTCCGCGAGGTATAAATTCGTATACCTTCACCGGTATCCGTGGCATGCTGTCCTGACCGCATGTCATCATGACGGTTAGTTCAACGCTTCCCCACTGCTGTATGTACTGAGTCACAAAATGCGTGAGGTTCGCGTCCTCATGCATCTGCGTAACAAGGGAAGGAAGGAAGTATGGCGACAAATCGATGAGCTTCAGCCGGTTGCATCCAAGACCGCAATCGGCATTTGGTCGCTGTGACCGCTTGAAGCAGCGCTCGCATATATCGCCTGGTCCACATTTGTCTCTCTGCAACACGCAATGCCAGCACGCAACAATTTTGCGCATGTCATGTGCTGCTTTGGCAACAGTTGGCTCGAGATGGGTGCCCAACGCCCTACCCCCTGACTTCGCTGCCAAAGCCTTTTGTGCTGCACTTTGGGATGATTCTGGTTCAGGAGATGCATCGAAACTCATTTCAGGTACACCATTCATCATAGAATAGTCTACCTTGATGGGAGGCTGTTGTGGTTGCTGTATCTGTGGCAGCTGTTGCATATGAGTGTACTGTTGAGTCTGGTACTGGTCGAACATCATGCCAGAGTCGGAATGCTGATACGAGGAGTACACGCCATCGGAACTTCCTGGACTAGGTGCAGAAGGGCTGATCTCTGGCTGATACGGAGACCTTGGGTGATAGCCGGTTGATGATGCCGTCGACGGTGGGGCAGGGAATTGGTTGCTGGTAATGTAACTATCCGTAAAGAGACTGGACGACGCGTTGTAGTTGACGAAATTTTGCTGGTCAGGTGGCGGTGATGCCCGCGTTAATTGCATTTCTATCGACTGATGATTCGGTAGCTGCGTCCGTGGTACATGATCGTACGCGCGATGAGGGAGATTTTGACCTTGCGCAAAGTATAGTTCTCCTTGGAATGATGTGGTAGGTTCGCTGGGCGAGATCAAGGAGGAAGGATCTGTGTATTGCGCCGCCCACGAGTCCACATCAATCAAATAGTCGGAGTAATTGATATGATCGCTCGCAGGGTCGAAAACAACATGGCCAGATCGAGGGATCATCGAAGACCGCGAAGGTGCTTGCCCGTTCCAAGGGTCATGGCGAGGTGGCTGGGTGGTGTAGTTCTGATTGAACATGTTGGTCTGAGCATGTACCGGCGAAATCTGGTGGGCTTGTTGGCTTTGCATGGTATATTGTTGCTGATACTGTTGAGTTTCAGCCATTGTAGCGTTAAATGCCGCCTGGACTACTATGCGGGTGTCAGCGGATATGGGTGGGTAATCTCAAGACAACTAACCTTGATCACTGAGTAACATGCTAGAGTCCACCGCCGGTATGGAGTGATATGAGCTTTGCGTTGACATTGTGTTGCCGTTGTGGTGGTAGTTGGGCGAGAAATCAGTCATTTCTCCCTCAAAGGATGAGCCGTCGGGTGTCCTTACGGACGTAGGCGAAGTCGAAGAACTATCATTCTCCCATTGCATATACTCTGGCGGTTGGTCTTGAGGTAGTTCCAATTGTTGCGACAGATTGCGGCTCGCAAGTGGTGGGGTCGCAAGCGGGCCAGGGGAGTGTCCAGTATGATTGATCAGGGAGTCGGTTGGTGTCTTCGACCGTCGGTTGTCATATTGACCATATCCAAATGCATGCGGGTCGATGAAAACCTGTTGTTCCGGGTATTGATGGTATTGCGGTGAGTATGTCGACATGGTGCGCAAGTGGCCGCTGGGGGCCGAACAGAAATTAGGGTCTTTCTAGACCTTGCGCATCAAACGGCTGTGAGGATCCTGTATGGGATGATGCCCCAGCGCTCGGCCCACTGACTGGAGATGGTGAAGACGGGAAGGTAAACGGCTCGTACCCGTGCAGAACAGCGATGCGCAACAGGGAACGACACACGGGAAGGGTCCGACCAGAATGAGTGACGTCCGCCGTGACTTGAGGAGGACGCGCAAGGAGAATCTGTCTCAGAGCGGCTGATTGTCAGAAGTTCAGACGATGATTAGTCTGGTGGCATTCGAGCCCATCTTACGCTGCCCCGCGAGGACCGGTGAAGGACAACCGGAAAATGCAAGCTATTGGCTTAGCTGCATGCATCCGCACAACTTTTAGATCGCACCAAACCGCAACAAACGTTCGCGCTCCCTCCGCGCTGCGCTGCAAATCACCGATTGTTTGAGGTCGATATAGATTCGCGATAGTGGCTGGTCGCATCGAATTTTGCGCTTTTGAGTCGCGATTTTCGCTCCTTCTGTTAGCCAAATCTGAAACACTTGAGGGTTTTCCCAGCCGCGTCAATATCCCTCAGGCATTCATTTATGCAATGCACAGCCTGCGCCTTGTTCGCTAAGCCATACCTCATCAAATTCAGCCTTGGTGGAACGAATTAAGGTCGTACTGAAGGTGATGGCTGGTTGAGCAACTGCGAATTACGACCTAGTGCGGCTCTGCGGTGTTCACCGGTTGACAAGCTGCCAGCTCATGCCGCGGGGAGTGACCTATGTGCATGAACTCAATCCAATCGTTTTCCTCCGGCAATATGTCATACCATTCTTTCTATCCGGATGCGCGCATCAATGGGTTGTGAGCGTTCTGTGTAAGCAGGCTTGTCGAATGCCAGCGCACACTGGTGGAAGGTAAAGTAAGCCGAACGATGAAGCGGCTGTCGCGCATGATGTATTGCTCAACATAGTTGACTTGTGTCATCAGGAATAACCCTAGAATCGTGTTTGTTGAAGTTTTCAAAATGTTGCAAAGAATGAAACAACACCAAAAATGCTCATATGATATATGTAGGCCTGCCGCTTTGCGTGGGCTCTTAGACTTGGGAGGGCGCTCGAGATACACATCCTCCAATCGGGTCTATGCCCAAACGAGTCTAGGGGGTGGATGATACCGATGAGGAACACGATCGTCGCAGGACCGACCTTTACCACGAGACAACGATTAGCGTTGATAGTGGACTACGCCACAGCGCTGATACCATCGTTATTCTCGTTCATTTTGACCTTACTCAGTTCCTACAATGATGTAGAGAGCGCAACGCATACTTCACGACGTGGAAGCAACTACGAACCGTGATCGGCATCACTTTGCGTTCGATTCTTGCTTCCCGTATGCTTGCATGTCCATCCATAAGATGCTGGCAAGTATCTGGAAGATATTCGACCTAGGGAAATACTACATGGTATGGTGTGACGTCATGAAGGCACAAACACAATCTGGCATAATTCATGGATGAAAGAGCTGCTGGCACAGATACAGAGACGGGTGGTCCGGAACCGGTTTTCTCTACGAAGCACCACGACCCGAAGCAAAATATGGTACATTCTACTCTAGCGGACAGTTGTTACAGTAGCCATACAGCACGATCTGAGCCGTGTCTCGCCTAATTACCACGAGGTTGTGGATATCGGAGCAGCTCCTGATCTTTCATCAACCGATCATGGCAACCTTTTTCTAAGCACACGCATACCTCGACACCTTCGTCAATGGCATTCTCTTTTACATCCGCCCTGCTCGGATATACAAAAACGTATCCTTCGAACTGGGGATCCGGAAAACGAATGGCCCTCGCAATACCGAAACCGAAGTCATGTTTCCGGTATACGTTCATGTCTTGCCAACTCGTACCCGTCAAGTCCATACCCAGGAACGAACTCATATTGATATTGATCCACCGCCTATCGTTTAATCCTGCGATCCATTCAGGTAGCTCAGCAACGTACTGCGAAGTGATAGTCTTGATTGACTTCCGCACTCTTTGCGCGATCTCTGAGAGATTGTCTTCACCGAGGAGTTCGGATATCTTAATCGGCTCCGTGCGGGGAAGCGCAACGGCATTTCCCATCATTGTCTCTGGCAAGGGCGGGTCCGACACCTTTCGTGTATCAACCGCGTGTACTAGTATGACCCCCTTGCCGAAGTCAGGGTGAAGAAGCTCAAGCTTGGACCGTGTGATACTCTTCCAGAGAATCGACATGATTGCGTCGTAAGTGGAAATCCAGCTTTCTCCTGTCTGTGTCATCGCTCGAGATTTAAGTTCCTCGGTCTTACTCTTGGGAAAATGCCACATGCGAATGGCCAATTCGGGCATCTTGAAGTCGCCTGGTGGTGGAGGAGCTGGTCCACCGCCATCCTTAAGCACAAGAAACTTCTGGTCAAGTTCTTTCCATCGTCCGGCATCCGGTTTCTTTGCACTGAGACGCGATCGGTTCATCGTTCCTTCAGGTACCGCTTTAGGGGAGGTCCCATTGACCACCGCTGCAGAATTCTGCGCCCAAGTAGTGAGAAAGCCGTCGCATCCTGGGCCGTCGGAACAGTCATGGTGGATAGCGACACCGAGGACAAGGCCGCCTTTGATGAAATTGATCTGAAACGTCGATATGATAAGATAGTCCTCTTGATTTTCCCCGAGAGGCAAGAATAGTTGTTTCTCCGTCACCGCCTTGGGCAACAACATGTGTCCTTTGAAAGTTGCGGCGGGGAAATCGGTCCTATCCAGCTCACCAAAAGACGGGAATGTTTCTTCCAAGTCCTGCACGAACAGACTGACTTCACTGTCCTTTCTTTTCGTCACCCACAAACGGCCATTCTCCGCATCCATCTTCAAGCCGCCAGCGAGGATGGGGAACTGACTCAATGTAAACTCGAGACTTTTTGCCATGCTGTCCACAACCTTAGTCTTGTCGAAAAGTGGTGCGAGCTTGAACACTTCCACTATCTGGACATAGATCTTCGGCATCGTATGATCCATATCAGAGAGAGCAAATTGCTCCTCTGCGGGAGCGCTCTCCCAGCCCGCTGGGCGAATCCGAACTTCTTTCGTGGACATGATAGTTTGTTGAAACGAAACTGGATTCAGCCCGAGCAGCTGCGGATAATGCAACGAACAAGAGGCGAGGGGGTTCTGCTTAGAAACTTGAAGTTCAAAAGCGGAGAATTTACGAGGCAATCAGACCAAAACCCCGACGCCGCATGCCCTGCAGCGTGAAGGTCACCAATTATGCAGCGTCTACAAGGCATTACCTCGGTGCAAGTTTCCGCATTTGGCAAAAAACCATTACTGACTCGTTCGACTTGCTTTCACGTCCAATAGGAAACACGTGCTGAAACTAGGCGCGGCAAGCGGTAACGGCTGTGGGACGAGCTTGTTTGAAGGTAAGCCTCATCGCGTGCATACTTCCTTAATGTCCAACCCCGGGTTCTGTGAGATATCTTGCCGCGCTACCCGTCAACCTTGGGGTATTTATATTCCCCTGGTAACATAGGTTGTCATAGAGAGAGCCCTGAAGATGAGCCGATTCGGTAACAACATCATGGAAACACCACCAGATATTACCACGCCCCTACGCCGTGACATATGTCGCACGGCCTGACATGCACAGCATGCTCCTACACCGCATATTTGTGACCAATAGGATTCTGCTAACAGGATTGCATGTTGCTACTGTCGGTTTGAGTTGTCCTTCGCTTCATCGTCCTCTGGCAACTCGCGAACACGAAAGACACATCTTATATCTTCGGCTCCGTTACCATCGTAACGTCCATCGAATTCGCAGTAGCAATCATCACCGCAAACATGCCTAGTATGTACGGTTTCTATCGGACGAAAATATCAAAGAAGGATCAGACTGCCACGGAGGAATATCACTTTGGCATTGCCACTCCAGGTTCAAGTTCAAAGGGCCGCTCCTTAGGCAATGCTAGTCGTATGATGAAGGGAAGCAAGATGCGTACCCACGCTGAGGAAGACAATATACAAACAGGAAGTCAGGATGAACTATATCCAATGAGCAATCTTGGCGAGAGCGAAGAGGAGCAGAACATCCGCGTTACTACGAAGGTTATAGTCGATGTCCTCGGTACGGTATGTTATGCCTGCGACGTGAGGTAGCGAGAGTCAGTATGGTTATGTTTTATATCGAATCACGCGGAATTGCATTGACGCTTCTCAACTGGAGGCAACTTTGCTCCAGTGTCATCAGAGTTTAGCGTTGGCGAACTCTCATTAAATCTGGCACAGGCGACGGCATTTTTAAAAATGATATATTTGCTTCGTTCAATAGAGTTCTGCAACAGAGTGGCAGCAGAACACCTGAGCATGTAAAGAGCATTCGACCCCGCAGTACTGTATAATGACCCTCAACATCGATTTACTCGTCACAGGATATGCGTCATTAGGGGCGAGGTGCAGGGAATGGGACCACTATCGTTTTGACTGCGATTGCGAGGATCCCCGCGCCCATAGAGGCCGCTTCGAACTTGCAGAGAAGCTTGTATTTTTTGAGCCCTGTACTGGGCGTGAAGCTACTCAGAGGTATTCCTATTATTCAACAACATGGCCAGTAAGTAAAAATATGCTGCAAGTGGGTTTAGGATCTTGCTGTTGTGTATGACAACTCTAGAAGGAGAGAAGTTCTTCGTAGACGATGCCCGGCTTTCGCGCTAAGCCGCCACATTTTTGCAAGCATGCCCTCTCAGCACGCCCGGCGGACAACAACTCCGCACCAACGACCAGGATTTCCTTCTGCCACATCCAGTATAATCGCATCAGCGTCGCGATTCGAGAGTTCCGGACATCAATTTTTTGTGCATTGCTCATCCCAGCTTCGCAGCTCAGCACTACGAAGCAGCACACAAAGTACTGCTTGGTTCATTCCGAGTACTCCGTGTCCTAGGCTTATGGCCCACGATCAGCTCCATCAGGAAAGATAACGCAAATCGATCTTTAGGCGTCCTCTTGTCGGGAGAACCATCCAATGGTGGGAGAGATGGCGAGGCGCTGGGTGCTGTCCTCTAAACCTGCTTAGGATTAGGCGCAACCCTCGTTTTACTTTTACGCCGGAGAGCTGCTGTCGGAACGATTGATCGGATTCCACAACTGTACGTTGGATGATACGTGAGTTCTGGTTGCTAAGCAGGCATTTTCACACTGTTGCAACACCCGAATGTCCGGAGAGCCAGCCATTATGTTACGGAGAAACGGAAAGCTGAGGTCGGTGATTCCGACAGCCGCTTCGAGGTGCCTTGTAGATATGAGCTAATGGGGTATTCGCAGGTCTTGCGAACCATGTCGCATATCAAAATCAAGTGCGACCATGCCATGCCGACATGCTCAAAGTGTCAAGCTCGTGGGATGACAGAGCAGTGCTTCTACCATCCTAATCCCATGACGAAGCCTGCCGGCACTCCACGCAAGAAACCAGAACCGCGTCGTCGGAGGTTAGATGGGCATGCTACAAACCCATCGTCCAGTCAAGGGAGGTTGACTCCGTTGACCCTGAGTCCTCCAACATTAAGGAACGATGCGGGATTCGTCCCTTGGCCTACCCCTCCTGAGTCTGCTACCAGAACAACGCAAAGCGGCCCCAGCCCATCTAGGAACTTCTTCTTGGGTTCCACTAGTTACGCTGCTGTCTTCACAGAAGAGCACCCCTTGCCAGACACGGTGCATGAACAGCCGTCTGAGAGACTAAGCATAACCCCTTCAGCATCAAGTAGAGGTATGGGACATCGGCACTGCCAATTTTCACTTGGAGATACGATAGTCTCTACGCTTCAACCCTTTTCCTTCTTTGAAAGATCTCTTGATATGTACTTCGATATGCACAAAGATCCTGCCCTTGTTGGCCCACTCATTCTCTCCGCGATGCCGCAATTACGCAAAGACATAGAACAGCTCCAAGCTGCTGGTAATCACGCATATCCTCTATACGCAGAGATTACAAGGAACTCCTCTCGACCACTGAAAATACCCTCAGATATGCGTCCATCAGAATTTCACACTCTCTTCACAGGGAAGAACTTGAGGTGGGAGATTTTGGGCTTGATAATGGCGGTTGCTGGCTCCAACGCCCAATATACATCACCTAATGATGCTCTTTTCACTCTAGAAGACGGCAAGCAAATGAACAGGGAAGAGTTCATTGAAGACATAATGCACGCAACTAATACGTGCATCAACATCTGCCAAACACACGGCGCCGTCAACGAGCTTATGACATGTGTCGTCTACATCAATTTAATGGTAGTCAGTAGCTTCTACGGAGATAACCGTGCGTCAATCTATACTCCTGAGGGCTACATCACAATTGCTGACCCGTCTAGATCACGCCACATGGAGGCGTATGGGCGACAGTGTCTCCGCTCTATACGCTGCAGGCATACATTGCGAAGCTTGCAACGTAGATGGCACCAATGCGGAACCATTCTTCATGCGCGAATTCAGAAGACGCCTCTACGCCGCAGTATATCGCTCCGACAAGACCCTGGCGGTGTTCTACGGACGACCTCCGATGATGGGCTGGAGGTACAGTGACCGCAAGATGTTGTTGGACATTAGCGATCAGGCTGTGACCTCGGAAGATCCGGAAGTACTGAATGCTGAGCTTTCGAAGCTGGATAGCGCGGGCTGGAACACCGAAGGGCACCTTCATCCTGCTACTTTCGGCAGAATGCGATGTCAACTTGCTGTATTCAAAGAGAGGTTGCTGGAACAAAGCCTGGCTGGCGAAAAGGATAGTGAAGTCGTGCGGAACGTGGAGTACGTCTGGCCCGTGACCTCTTCTCTACATTTGGCTAACACGCTCAGGGCGATATCGGCTGAATGTACGACATGGTGGAACGCGTTGCCAACGCACCTTCGATACGACACCTATACGGAAGAGGCTGCCTGGGTAGGGCGTGGTCCTGGCCTAGCCATGCGACTAGTCGCTTACTACCTAGACTACCTACACGTCCATTTCCAGACGCAGCGTCTCCTCCACCGGATTACGCAACAAGCACTCCCAGCACTATTGGAAGTGTCGCTAAAGTTACTGGTTACGTCCCTTATCTCAACCAAGCCGCAAAATGGCGACTACGAAACTCGTCGCCATTTCCCCACCGTCATCTTATTCTACTGCTCTCCAGCCGCGGGTGTCCTAGCACTTGAGCTTAGAAGATGCACGATTGAAGGCGTACCACTACCTGACACGATATCTCGAGCAGATGTGATCCGGAATCTTTCCGTGCTGACTTCATGTCTGGAGTGGATCGTTCTTCCCGGCGACGGAAACTACAAGCTATGCAGCGAGCTTAACAAGATGCTTACGCTAGTTCTCGAAGAAGTTCTCAACTACGTGCCTCCAGTTAATGGTGGGCAAGAACATGGCGATGATGCCGCAGCTATGACTGGAGCGGGGCAGGGTTTCTTCGACATGCCCATGATTGAGGGTTTGGAACCTATACCGACTGAGTCGGAGGACTTTTTGAACTGGTTGGATAATGCAACGTGGAACAATACAGTAAGCTGAGCGGCCATAGGCAGATACGTGGTTCACTGACTTCTCCAGGACATATTTTAAGCGGGTCGAGGATACTACATTGACAAAGAGTTGAATACGCGATACAAACTACATAACACCAGACGCCGACGGACACCAAAGGCGAAACACAATATTGCATAGGCCTGCCATGGCTTCTTCAATGCTCTAGCCGTATACTACGAGCATACGATACATCCCACCCATAAAGCTTCACAACGAACATCTCAATGCTCCGGATGATGTTCCTCTCTCGAATGATAGTAACCTATCTAACGCCCAGCAAAGTATACTGCTCTTGCAGCAGCTCTCGTCTCTTTTTCTTCTGTTTCCTTCTGCGCTTGGCTACTTGAAGGCGATGTTGTTCCAGATGCTATTGTCGGCGTTAGAATGTTCTCAGTTCACTAGAGTAGATTTACATACGCTTTCGGTTTAGCACCTTTGCCAGAATACTCTTCGATGTTGACTTCGTTGAGATTATGGAGTTTGCATCGGATGCCGAGTATGGCGGTGGTGTAGTGGTGGAGTAGCGTGGCAGATCGGTGGGAGAGCATGTCGTTGTCTTAGAAGGAAAAGACATTGTGATGGAAGCTGTGATAGGTAGTTGTGATGAACAAATGTGGTTCGATAGCGCTTGAAGCTGCCAGGTAAAAGTAAGGCGATTGAGATATTGTATGCTTCTGCTCTGGTTGAATTGGATGACTACCCCATCAATATTGCACAGGTCGTCTTATATGCAAATTCTTCTCATCACCACCGATCAAGTTGGATACCCTACGCAGGCTCGTCATTGTCCTTTTTGCCTGGTGGGTTGCGTCGGAATTCAATTTGACCCCCTTTCATTCAGTCCAAGCCACAAAGCTCATCTCATACATATCTATGCACGGTTCGGAGTGACTGTTTGGCAGCTTCCGGTAAGTGCATGCACTCATCATGGTATGATGTCTAGGCAACAACGTTAGGCGTCCAATACCGAAGCCACAGCCCGACAAGCATTGCATGCAGGAGTCAAGTTACGCGCGTCAAGCTTATTTTCAAATGATCAGATTTTGTTTCAGATGCGAAATCTGTTTCGGTATGAATTGCATGTGTCATTGCGGCTGGATAGGAGGAATGGAAAGATATCGGACTAAAAGTGTTATGCCGGTGTGACTAGACCTAATTAGGGCTAAGTCACTATGCTTACAATCGTTCTGACGTGAAGGGCTGAAGCAAGAAGTGCAATTACTCCGAAGGGCGTTTTTGGCGAAACGAGACTGATCTGCACATATAGATGCTTGAAAATGCTATGTATGCAAAGGAAATGCGACGTTGGTGTGGAAGGGCGCTGCTACTGCTCTAGCTTCGATCAGGGAGCCTAGAGTACATGGCGGTAGACAGTGACGACAAATTTCAGGTGACTGTCAATTTCAGAGTATTTACAAGAAGATCCTTAAAGTCTACCGTATGCTGGCATTAAGCTAATCAGACGCACTGTGAGTAATAGTCACCCCCAGCTTTGCAGGTAAGTCCTGAAGCACCTAAAAATCGTCAGTATAAGCTTATCCTCGTATACTCGAACTCATTCAACTTACAGGTTTTGCATCCAGTGTATCCATTTCCGCCGCACTGACCGTACTTTGCAACCGAGCATGCACCAGCACCGCCTCCACTCGTCGGCACAGCGGCGGCAGACGTGGCTACTGCAGATGTCTTCATAGTAGTTGCGGTAGCGGTGGCAACCGGCGCTCCACCAGTAGCAGTGACGGCTGATCCAGCACTTCCAGCGACGGCTTCAGTACCACCGGCGATAACTGCCGGACCGGGTGCGACATACGAAGCGAGGTTCTGGTAGATGTTGATCTGGATACCAGGGTCGGTAGCTTTGTAAGCTCCAGGGAATGACACGCCAGCAGGTGAAGATGATCCGCCACCAGTGACGGTGATCTGATAACAGGTAACGTAGAACTGAGCGCCCCCAGCACCAGACGCGGCATGCAGCGCAATAGCTTCCGCTCTTAATAGATAGTCTCCTGGAGCCAGGTTCGCGGGGACCTTCACATCCATCTTCCCGCAGTTCTTGTTCAGATCCTTCGTACCCCAGTAATCATCCGAACCGCCACCACCCGCAGTGTTCTTCGCCCACGTATCCTGGAAGACCTTGAAGAAAGGGGTCGAGCCATCCGCTGTGGATGCATCTGCGACTTTAGACATGTAGACAAGGACGGGGCCGTAGTGAGCACCACCGATGGCCTCGTTTGCGCAGGAGCGGTCGCCATTTTGCTGGTGCATCTCTACGGTGACGGTGCCGCCGGCAGGGACGCTACATTTTGAGGCTGCTGGACCTTGGTTGGCATTGCAGCGGATGTCATTGCTTGCTACCGAGGTGACTGGGCTATTGCTGTTGGGAAGCCTTGCACAAGTGGACTGGTGAACGGGTGTCAGTGTTTTCGATGATGAGTTTCTGAGAGTACTTATCTGATCTTTGCCGTTGACCCATAGGTCCTGGAAAGTCGCGTGAGATGCTACCTGTGTTGCGAGGGCAGCAACGCCGGTCAAGATGATCGCGCTTCTCATAGTAGGGATTATGACGGTAGTCGGTAACCTGGAAGAAGGGAAGTGATGAGATCTTACTGAGATGATATCGAACTGGTTTCGTACCCAACACCTCTTTATACTCGCTGCTTCATGCTTCAGGCAGTATACAACATGCTCGCTTACATTTGGAGTGCAGCCCGCTGTTTCGATCCGTGCTACTACACCCTAAAAGGTACATGTTTAGAGTATGGTACCGTCGTGTGACATAAGATTATATGAAAATAAAGCTTGTCATTGCCAAAACCTGGGTTCTATTTTCCACGTGTAACGTCCTGTGGCAGGCGTGGATATTAACCAGCCCGCACACAAGGTTCTGGCTCTAGATTCGCTCCATAGGTATGCTTTTGTGTGCGTCGTGCAGGGCTGCTGGTATATAACGTACGTACTACAAGCCACCGGTTAAAGCTCCCGTCGGTTCGATTGGGCGTGCACCTTGTAGACAGTCTCGAAGTCTCATTGCTGCATCTCTGTGAGCTGAAACAAAGACCTTTACACTCATTGACGCGTATGTTCTTGTTCGCGTTGAGCGCTGACACGAGTTGTGCAGCTCTACAACATCAAACTGCTATTGTGTGTACGCTGTCCACCAGAAATTGCTCGAAACCGTGATCTCAGGCCATCGAGTGAGTCGGCCAGGGCTTAGGGCGAAGAGTTATCGAAAGCAATTTGTTTAAATGAAATTCGAGAAGCGACGCGTGCCGCGTCTGCGCCTTCCCCAGATCCGGTACCTCGGCAGAAAAGCTTGTTTCTCGTCTCTTTCTAGTATGGAAGCAGGGGGTCTTAGACGGCTCGATTCCTGGCGAGGTAACACTCTGAAAGTCGCGTGGTTGGGAATGCAATCTTGGTAGGTCGGGATATGCGGAGATGCTGGCCGTGATGATGTGGGGATAGGTTAGCGCAGTCGGGACAAGGGCGCGTGCCGCACACGAACCTCCCATCGTTCCTTCATCGACGCACAGCTTCAGTCCATCATGATGGGTTTCTACGATGTTCATACGGAGATGCTTGTGTCAGGGAGTCGTAGGTAGCTCCCAAATTCTACTCCAGATGTTGGTGCTGCTGTTCCGATCATTATCCTTCACCCTACCTACCAAACGCTCTTTCATGAACAGCGTCCTTTTACCCCATGGAAATTTAAGCCCAACATATTGTTCGGCGAATTACTTCCCATTCTCATCGCTAAACTTTTTCTCCTATCTGCATCGCGTCTTTTTACTAACATAGTTGAGTTCGCATAGGCAGAGTTTTTTCACTTCTCAAACTCATCACATGCTCACGTCTGTCGACAACGTCTATATTCGCTATATATCCGTCTCTTCTAGAATTGAATTAGTGTCTGCCTTGTATCGTTGTCGCAGACTCGCCTACTCTATCCATACGTCCATAGGTGAGTCTGCCACAGCAATATCAGTCTCCCCTCTCAAGTCATCCGTTCATCCGGATACAAGTCTCGTCGTCCTTCCCATCATTGTCTTTCTCTTCCTTAAACCTCTCGCTTCCCACAAACACGCCCACATTCCTTCTCCAACCATCAAAGTAGCAAATGCCTACCCTCACCTTCACCTCGCCTTCCTCCACCCACCATATACAACCCCATGATCTCTCTCGCTATACAGCCCTGAATCTTACCCAATATCCCATCAACACATGACTTTGGAATACTCTCGTGGCGGTCGGAAACGTGATTACATAGAAAAAGTACGGGTAACACCGCCGCCAACCTCGGGGTAGCTGCCCAAAAGATTGGAAAGCTGCGGGTTCGAGTGGTGGTTTTCGGCAGTCACTTAATGCCTTAAGAGTGAGTATTCTTTTTGCTCCCACAAATGCCGTTTTATTGTTACGTGAACTATGTCTTAATGCGGCAGAGTGAGTAATACTAGGGAAGGGTGATGTGATACTGTAATGTAGCACTATGGAATGATCTCAATGCAAATGTATTTCCTTGACACCCCTCTTGTTTACTTGCCGCCTCTCTGCGTAGGCGGCGTAAAGCACAGAACAAAGACAGAATGCTTTATTTCGTGAAAATATAAGAATGCTATAGATAGAGGTATGAAAAGAGCAATGTAGGAAGAGAGGTAGTATGATTTGTACTAAAATTACAAAGAAAAGCAAGTCGCAACATCTAAAGTTCCACACAGCCCGGCCTATGTTAGTATATAAGACAACAGGGGCTTGCCAGATATCATAGTAGTCAGAAGTGCCGCACAGGTGCCTTATCTACAGAGAAATGGACATACGAAGATTGAATAGAGGAAGAAAAAGTTAGACAGCTTGTTTGTAATCTGCCCTATCAATGATCATGCAAGGCTTCAATTCCTGATCGTCGGTAGCATTGTTATGCTATTCATACATCTACTTGGTGTCTTGAAATCATCATGTTCGTGAAGATACCTCGCGCTCCATCTACCTACCACACCTTTCTAATCCCGCTTAAGCGGGGTGAAGGTCTCGGCTATACCCTCACTCGTGATGATCATCATCTGAAGACCATCACCAACCTCGATATGCCTCTCAACCGCGCTTGTGAAAGCATCCCGGACCAGATCCTCGACGTGATCCCGCGGTAGCGGTTGTGCTTGCTTTGACTTGAGCTCGTGACCTGTTCCGCTGCCTGGCTCGTACATGTTCTTGAAGTTGACCTGATTGTCCAAGAAAGGCATGATGAGTGATGCCGCAGCACCAGCCGCCCTACACTGCTCCCTCTCGTAGCTGCCGACCGGGTCGTAGGAGTACAGCGCACCCTTGCCCTCTTCGTCCAGACCAGCCAAGATGGCGTGTACGTAGTAGGGGAAGAATCGCTTGTTGTAGAGGATGTGGCTGAGTCGTTGTGCGCAGGCGGAGACGGTCATGGGCTTTCCATGCTGGTACTTGTACATCTTGACGATGGTGTCGAGACGCTCCTTCAACGCGTCACCGTCTGCTGCGAAACCGACTACTGACAGTACTATCCTGGCGCCCTTGTTGTCTGGTCCCTCACCGCCGATCTTGAAGAGCTTGGGTGCGTATCGTGTGTTGATGTTGTAGCCGGATGTCGAACGTGTGTCACCTGCCAGGATGGCGAAGTCGGCACCGGAGATGCCTAGTGTTGATCCGCCGTTGTCGGTGTAGCTGATCTTGTTAGTTCTCCATATATTCATGGTATAGAGTTACACATACGGGTAAAAGCCATGTTGCCGCTCGCCTGATGGGACAGTTCTGGGGTCTGGTTGAACGAATAGCCTGGGCCACCTTGCGGGGTGCACCGGTGTAGAGCGCAGCCATTGTTGGGTTTTGTAGACGTGAATTCGAAACGGAATGTAGGGGCTCCAGTCGATATCGGAGGGTTGTGGGTTATAGCGGCGGTTCTATTTGTTGGTGTTGAAGCTCTAGAGTTACGCAGCTCGAATGCCTGGAGCTTCCACGCGCTAGTGTCTTGGCGCTGATGTAGTGAGAGCGTACATCAAGGACCGTCTTGGAGCATATACAGAAATGGCTTCAGTTTATATCCTAGGAATTACCTAACTAGACTTCAAGCTCGTGATGGAGTTTTCAGGTATTGTTCCCATAGCATTGCACTACTGATTTCTGTCGCTAATGTACAATCTCCTCTATCACCTTCTCTCTCTGGACCTCGAGCGTCTCCTCTTTGGCGACCTTGACCTGCTCTCCAACTTGCTCCTTGAAGTCTGATCATCCTTTCCTCTATGTTCCAACTCCTTGCGCTTTCCCGTAGTAGAGCTCGGTGCGACAGTCTTGGACGCAGAGACGAACTCGAGAGCTTCTCTTGGTGCCTTGGACCTCTCCTGTTCTTTGGTCTTCGCGATACGCTTCTGTGAGGCTCTCAGTTCCTCGACGTAGGCCCACTCCGGAAAGATTGCGGGTACCGCGACATCTTCTGGTAGGGTGGATGCATATGAATCCTCTTCGCTGATTCCCGCAAAGTCCATCAGTTTCCGCGTATGCCCCGGATCGCGTAGGACTGACGAGCCTTCCAAACGCTGGTTGAAATGCTGACCCTTCTTTTTAAGCTCTAGGAATTGCGCAAACTTCTTGGTAGCTCTCTGGGGTGGTGACCCAGGTGGGGAAGGCGGTATGTCGAAGTTTGGAACGGTAGGTAGAGTAAGGTTCTGAATCAGAGCGCGTGTAGTTGTGTACGGTGAGCCTGGCGCGGCATCATTTGAAGGAACATCTTCCTCTGGAGGCGGCGAAACCGTCGGACCTTGCGCAGGACCATTCACTGGAGCTGAGGAGGTGGGCGGTTGTTCGAGAGGCGCGGGAGCGGAAAGAGGTTCTGGGGTCGGCGCAACTGCTGCAGGAATGTTGGTCAACTCTATATTAGTAGCCACCAGAGCCCTTGATGCACATTTGTGAGTCTCACCTCTGGCTTAGTCGCGGGCACGACATCCTCCTCGTCACTATCTGGGTAGTCAATTCCGAGCATTTTGGATGCGCAATGCTTGTAGACGATCATCTCGGATTGACCTCAGTATGCGGAAGCTTGGGCCAGCTCTATGTCTTGGCGGGCGAGCTGCGCAACCACCGACTGCCTGGCGGGCATCGTGACAACAACCTCACCTTCAAGTCCACTACGACATATCAGCTTCTCCGATTCCCGAACAAACCACCCTCTCCAAACCACCGTTTCAGTTACCGCCAACACCATGAACCACCTTCCACAAGCTTGGGGTCGTGTATGTCTTCCGCTCGCCTCAAACAGCAACGGTACTAATACATCATAGCCTAGAGACGATGTATACGGCGCTTACGACCCTTCACACTTCTCCGCTGCAGGCCCGAACCAGCATACCCAGAGCCCGATCGTTACCGGTACCTCAGTACTTGCGGCCAAGTTCAAGGATGGCGTAGTCATTGCCGCGGACAACTTGGGTATGGCACAAGACTATGGTTGACGAGGGTCTGGCTGACAAACATACATAGCTTCATACGGTTCTCTTGCTCGCTTCACCGACGTCAAGCGTCTACGAAAGTTCAATGACGAGGTAGTCGTGGGTTTCGGCGGCGATGTTTCGGACATGCAGTACCTGGACCGCCTACTCAACTCGCTCGACATCCGCGAGAACTACTCCTCTTCCGAGAACTCGCTGAACGCCAAGAACCTCCACACTTACCTCGCCAAAGTTATGTACAACCGCCGCTCAAAGTTCGACCCATTGTGGAACCATTTGCTCATTGTGGGCATGGACGGAGATAAGAAGCCCTTCCTTGCGAGTGCAGACCTTCTCGGTACCACCTTTTCATCACCATCGCTGGCCACTGGCTTCGGTGCACATCTCGCTCAGCCAATCCTAAGGACAATATTGCCAGATGAGGCTGCCGTAGAGAATGTCACAAGGGAACAGGCGGTAGAGAAGATCAAAGAGTGCATGAAGGTTCTCTTCTACAGAGATGCCAGGAGTATGGACAAGTACTCGATTGCCGTCATCACAAAGGATGGTGTTGATCTCGACGAGAACGTGAAGCTGGAAAACCAGAGCTGGGCGTTTGCCGACAGGATCAGGGGATACGGTACCCAGGTTGTATAGGGAGAACTGATGGGAGAGGTCAAATATCACGATCAAAGGCGTCAGCACATTGAGTAACTGAGGCCTGAATGATAGACATGATTGAATGTACCAATAACGGTATGAGTTTGTCCAAGCCCGTGCACCCGGTATGTTGTGTGTTCGTGCTTTATTACTATTTTCGGCAACCAAGACTCCATGCATAACGGTACTCAAAAGAGCCAACGAGGTTAGAGCTTCGTAAGCTAGAGCGGGGAAGCTCCGCTCACGAACAGCAAACCTAGTGATCAGCGCCGTGGTCTTATGACCTGTTGTTTTGTGCGTATATGCCTACAGACACTTCCATCATACCGTAGTTACCAACTCATCCAACACCCGCCGACCTCTTATATGATGGCGTCTCCACAAAGTAAGAGGATAGTATTTACAGGCGGTTCTGGAGTAGCCGGACGACATGTAATTGAGAAGCTACTTAGTTTCGGCCATGAGATACTCAACGTGGACGCAACACTTCTAGACAATCCCAGGGTACATACCTTGAAGGCCGATCTTACAGACGGCGCGCAGGCTTTCAACAGTCTATCTTGTCACTTCAAGATTAGCGAACCCTTCATGGAGCCAGTCAAGACGCCGGATGCTGTCGTACATTTCGCCGGTACGTAACCACCTGTGCTTATTTCGAAGAGAATCAAAGAGACGAACAGTCAGGAAACAGTCCATGGCTCCCATAACCCCCATCAACATAAGATTAACACCAAACTCCCAGGCATTCCCCAACCCATGCGCCTCCCCGACAACGAAACCTATCGCATAAACACCCTAAGCTCCTACAACATCCTCGAATCCGCCTGTAAACTTGGCATCCGCAAGATAATCCTCGCCTCTAGCCTCACCACCTACGGCGTCACATACGCCGAAGGCAGCACATCCTACACCCACTTCCCCATCACCGAATCCACACCAACGACCCCCATGGACGTCTACGCTACCAGTAAACTCTGTATGGAAACCACTGCCGCGTCATTCGCGCGCCGGTTCCCCGGTGTTGACATTTACTGTTTGAGAATATCGGCTGTGATCGAACCAGAGAACCATGCAAAAAAGTTCGAAGCGTATCTAACCCGGCCACAGGATTTCAAAGTGCATGCGTGGAGTTATACTGATGCGAGGGATTTGGGGAATATGGTGCAGTGTTGTTTACAGACGGATGGGTTGGGGTTCCAGGTTTTCAATGCGGTGAATGATGAGATTACTGTTCCCGAGACGGAGGGGTCAAGTGAGGATTGGTTGAGGAAGGCTTGTCCCGAGACGGAAATTTTGGGGACGATGGGGATGAGGGAGAGTCCAGTTTGTAACAAGAAGATGAAGGATATGCTTGGGTTTAGGGAGGAGTTTGGTTGGCGGGATGTGATGGGTAAGAAAGGATAAGGATGTGGTGGTTGGGTTGCTTGATGGCTGCGTTGTTGGGCAATGCAGGGTGTTGAGATACCAAGAAGTTTACGGTTTCTGATCTCCAAGGTTGTCCCTATGGTATGCCCTAAGGGTATTTGCCAGGTCCTATACTATGTTTTATCACATAGGAAGCAGCGAGTACCTTCAGGGTATGGCTCGTCAGCTAGTACAACTTGCAAAATTCAAGCTTCTTCATGTTTCATCTTGGGTTCGGTCAGAGCCTTGTCGAAATTTGAACATTATATTATAATTTGCTACACTCATCTCCCGCTCACATACTTTTGTAGCCTGAGCCCTTTCATCAGGCCTTCTCCTCACTCTTCTTCTTCCCTCTAAGCATCCCCTTGATCTTGCTAACACCCTTGCCTAAGCCTCCAAACACCATTCCAAACCCAAACTTCCAACCCTTGATTCGAATGCTCCATACGAAGAAGTAAACAAGCGCCCAGTTGCTAATGCAAAAAGCAAGGAAAATACCAAAGTCGCGCCACTTGTCACTGGCCTTGACGTTGATAGTAGCTAAGTAGTCGTCTCCAACCGAATAAGGACAGTATTGGCAACCAGTTGTGGCCTCGGGGTTGAGCAGGTAACCTGGCGAGGCGGAAGCGAAGGCGCCAGCATAGGACGAACAGCTTTGGCCTGGTGGTGCGTCGAAAACAGCGGTCTCGCTCTCCTGACACTGAACCGGAATTCCGGTCAGTGTTGCAGAAGGACACCACCAATCCAGTACGTTGAGGGATTTAGATAATACATCTATATGTTGAAGTATGAAGTCAGTGTATGTCTCAAATGCAGTTTGTACAGGGATACTACTCACCCAATACTTCCAGAACACCGGCATCATCTCGTAGGGTCGTACAACACCGTTGAAAAGACCAAACATAACGAAGAAGAAGGGCAAAACATTTGAGATGACAGTAAAGGACGGCGCAAACGCACAGATCCACTGACCCCAACTTGAAATAAATAAGAAGAATAACATCGTCATCAAGAAGACGTATCCAGAAGTCGAGCTATCAGTGGGTAGTCCAGTAGGGAAATACCACAAAACCCAATACAGCACGCTCGACACAATAGCGATAGGGATCTCGGCAACGACCTGCGCAGTCGTAAACGCAACCCAACCGTAGATACGAGAGGGTAGCTCACGAGCTTGCCAGAGTGCCATATTTTGGTAGAACTTGGGCACTACACCGTTGACGATGGTGGGTGGGATAAGAATGATGAGAAAGGCAGTGAACATGCGGTTTTGTAGGTCGCCAATGGAGTTGCCGAGTTGCCAGAAGGTGAAGCCGTTAAATATGCCGATGATGACTGCGACAAAGAGTTTGCCGTAGAGGTAGGATGGGTCGCGCCAGTATTGGATGAATGTGCGCTTGGTGAGCATGGTGGTTTGCTCCCAGACGCTCGCCGCAAACTCGGACTGCTCGGCTCCTCCATCTTGGTTCTGGTCAGAAATCTTGCTGCGCTCGGTCTTAACGCGGTCAATTTCCTGTAGCATTTGCTTGTTGTTGTCGGAGTTGAGCCATTCCTCATTCCAGTTGATTTTGCTGCCGTCTTTGCGCTTGACAGGCTTCGCTGCAGTCTCTAGGATGAACTCTGCCACGTTCTTGCTAGGAGGACACTGTACGCCGCGGTCGCCAAAGTACTTGATGACATCGGTGCCGTTCTCGCCTACAGGACCGAAGTAGAACGTGTTACCACCGGGGTTGAGGGCAAGAATCATGTCGAATTGCTGAATGAGAACACTGCTAGGCTGATGGATGGTGCAGACAATAGCCTGACCTGCCTGAGCAAGTTTCTTGAGAAACTGTACAATAGAGTACGCAGAGTTGCTGTCGAGACCGCTGGTTGGTTCATCCAAGAACAAGAGCAAAGAAGGCTTCGCGGCGAGTTCGACACCGATAGTAAGACGCTTCTTCTGCTCGACACCCAGGCTGGACACCAGTGCATCTTGGATGTCTTGCAGTTCGAGGAGGTCAATAATCTTGTTGACATAGTCAAGCTTTTCCTTCCTAGGCGTGTTCTTGTCTTGACGCAGGATGGCGGAGAACTCGAGAGCTTCGCGGATAGTAGCAGTGCCGTCGTGGAGATCCATTTGCTCGCAGAATCCAGTACCTCGCTGGAAGGCCTTACCAAGATCCTTGCCGTCCACCAAGAACTCACCCGAGACGACACCGGTAGACTGTCGTTGGGATAGTGTGTTGAGCAAAGTGGACTTACCAGCACCAGAAGCACCGACAAGGGCGATCATGACCCCGGGCTTGGCGTATCCGTTGACTTTGTTCAAAAGCTTTCGTTCGCCTCCCTGATATGGGACAGTGTATTCGACATCTTTCCAAGTAAAGACACTCTCACTGCTCGAGATAGACTCCAGTGCCTCTTCCTCATCGTGAGCAGCCGTGTCTGAGCTTGCAGTAGACTCTCCAGCGGCCACCTTCTCCTCATCAGCGGGTGCCTCCTCCTTGACGGCTTGCTTGGCCCGCTTGTTCTTAGCGAAGACCAACGCACCGCCACCTGACTGCGCGAAGGATACAGTCTCGGTTGCGATCACCGTAACCAAGAGATAAAGTACCGTGAATGCTATCACAACACCGAAGTTGCGCCAGAGGTTCGACCTGGAGTAGTTGAAGGACACCTGAAGGTAGTCTGAGCCAGCCACGGTGCGGGAATTGGGTGCTGCACCAGTCAAGCTGCAGCCTTGATAGGCAGGATCGACGCCCGGCCCCTGAGGTACCAGCTGGCTGGGGGCGCACTCCATGATACGATCGGAAAACTCGTTTGCAAGGACTGATTCGAAAGAGTATGCTACCGGGTTGATCCAATAGATCCATCCAAACCAGATGTAGTCCGTCAAAAGCTGTGGCTTCGGGATAACGTAACCGGTGTAGATGATCAGGAGGTTGAGCGCGATACCGGCAAATCGTACAGCGTCG